AACATTAATGCTAGACTATGACTTTTCAAGTCTTTCCCTGAAAGACTTCTGGATACACAAGTGGCTACGACTGACGCAAAATAATCCGGGTGAGACCAGCTAATGAATGACTTTTAGCTTTCAGGGAAGAAAACTTTCAGCTATAAAAACAATGCAGGCATTTCACTTTGGTGTCTCCCTGTTCATTTAGTAAATAGCAATTGCTCTTGATGTTTCTCTATTTTAGGATTCTCATGTTGTGTTCCTTCATTTTAACTTTCGTGGCAGCTGATGGTGGAAGTCCTGGAACAACCACAATTGTGAGAGGCGAAGACCTCCAACCATGGATTACATCTCTCAAGGCCACCTTTTGTGCAGGCTTTAGGCATCTCGACTCCAAATCTTCCCTCTATAGTTTCTCAATATGGTACACCAAAATGCCCAACACAGTCATCTGGAGCGCAATGTCTAATGACACTGGAGGTTCTCCAATCGGGCTTATCAAATGCGACCAGCTCGCTTTCCAGACCGATGGTCGGCTGATTCTCACTTCCAAAGCTGCTGGAATTGTCTGGGGAACTTCTACAACAACTCTCTCAGTTACAAAAGCTTTACTTCAGGAGAATGGCAACTTAGAGCTGCTAGCAAGCAACGGAGTGCCTGCTTGGCAGTCATTTGACCGCCCCACGGACACCATTCTTCCTGATCAGCAGCTCATTGGAATCACCCAGCTTGTCTCCAATAACCGAAAATATTTCCTTCAGATGGATGGGAGTAAAGTTGCACTCTATTACCAGGGATATTGGCTTGAACCATACTGGAGGATAGAGAATGAAAATCAATCCAATTCTGCCAATTCTGTAGTCAGTCCTCGTCTCAACTTCAGCACTAGTGGGATGCTTTCTTTCTTTGATGGGAGCGGCAGCTCCTGGAAAAACCCTGTCAAAGTATATGACACAGCACAGAGGTATGCGCTTGATTATCCTAAAGTTGGTCTAACCCGGAGGCTGACCGTGGACGATGATGGCAACTTGAGAATCTACACTCTTGATGAGATTAACAAACGATGGATCATAACTTGGCAAGCTGTTCTTCTCGAGTGCAACATCTTTGGAAAATGTGGGCGATTCGGGATTTGCACGTACCGGCCGACTGCAACTTGCACCTGTCCTCCGGGATTTCACCCCACAAATGCGTCCGATTCATCACAGGATTGTGCTTACAACACTCCATTGGCCAAGTGTCCCACAGGCCAAAACTCAACAGATCCAAGAAACTTCAAACTGATCCAACTTGTACGCACGGACTTCAAATACAATGACTACAATAGTGACCCGCTGCCAACTCCGTCATCCCAGGAGGATTGTATCCAAAGATGCCTTAGGGAGTGCGAGTGTCTCGGAGCTGCTTTCCAAATGGCTGGCGCTGGAATATGCTGGCTCAAGGGTTTAGATCCCTCGGGTTTATTCAATGGCAAGCAGTCCCTGGACGTGGACAACGTTTTCTTCTTGAAGCTTTCTGCCAAAGATCCAGGAAAAAGTCCAGATGCAAACATATACGTGACAAATGCAAATGCCACTGTCGTTCCTGGTTTCCAGTGGCTGGTGATCCATCGGCCATTTTTCAGAGACGCTCCTCGAGTTGCTCTATTCATTACAACACTTGTGTTGGTGGTGTTCCTCTTGGTTGTGGGGCTCTGCTGGACCATAAGCGCTAGAGCACGTAACAACATGATGGATCTCGATTTCAGCAGTGGGCCTGCAAGGTTCACGTATCAGCAGCTGCAAACTTTCACAGACAACTTCTGTGACAAGCTTGGATCGGGAGGATTTGGGACGGTCTACAAGGGGCGGCTTCTAAATGGCACCCTTGTTGCAGTCAAGGAACTGGAAATGGCCATGCAAGCTGATAAACAATTCCAAACTGAAGTGGAGACCCTCGGCAAGATTCACCACATCAACCTCGTCCGGCTGTTGGGGTATTGCTATGAGGACAATCGAAAGCTCCTGGTTTATGAGTACATGCCTAATGGTTCACTAGAGAAGTTACTTTTTTTGGATGATGCAAAGCACTTTTGCAGCTGGGCCAACCGATTCAGCATTGCTTTGGGGATTGCAAGAGGGATAACATACCTTCATGATGAATGTCAGGAATGCATTCTCCACTGTGATATCAAGCCTCAAAACATCCTGCTTGACGAGAGCTTCTGTCCAAAGGTAGCGGATTTTGGTTTGGCCAAGCTAATGAAACGGGAGAGGGCATTGAGTGTCACAACTGTTCGTGGAACCAGAGGATACCTTGCGCCTGAGTGGATCAGCAACCTTCCAATCACAACCAAAGTGGATGTCTACAGTTTTGGAATGGTTTTGCTCGAGATTATAAGTGGCAGAGAGAAGTACATCATGACGATATCTGCCATAAACTCAGAAAACAGCCGATGGTGTCTCTCGGACTGGGCTTACAACATGTATCAGGCTGGAGATATGGAAAGCATTGTTGACAAGAAGCTTGTTGGGGAGGAAGTGGATTTCATGCAATTCAAGAGGCTGCTTAAAGTTGCATTGTGGTGCATTCAGCACGATGCACATGCAAGGCCATCAATGGGGAAAGTGGTGCAAATGATGGAGGATACTGTACAATTTCCTGAGCCATCATCTCCAAATTCTTCTTTCTCCATAGGTTTAGATCCTTCTATGGACTACTCAGAAGACACTATTGGTTCTCTGACAAATGGACGATAAGTAGACAACTCTAAAATAATGTTATTATTGGTTATTTTGACGTGTTTATCAGTTAATATAACCTTTCTGTTTTTAACAAAATGTTTTTAATGAAATAAACATACTCTAAAGGTCACTCAGCAAGCAGAAGACTAAAGGATGGATTCTTTCTAGCTGGGAGGAGATGTAGAATTGAGTCATGGTGGTATTGGTAAATGATGTATACAACTGCCTCCAATTCTAATGCTTTTTTCACACCAGCAGCAAACACAAAATCAGGAGTTGATGGAACTTCCTCTTTGCAACTAGAGCACCAAGACTAAATGATCAAGTGCTAAAAGAATGAGACTTTTTGGCTCAAGGTGAACCATACAATTCGAATCGTTATCATAATCCATTTCTTTTAAACATGTTTGGGAATTTAGTCATGGGACCAGAATGTGGAAGGGAAGGCTCAATACTTACCAGTGACCACACCGAAATCAAAATATGGACATGTTTAAAGTCCAGAAGCAATACATTTGTTCCACCAGCCGTAGAAAAGTTTCCTACTATCCTTGATTACACTAATCTAATATTATTTGTCAAAGCAAGGGGATGTAGGTACGACGATTAGGTAAGAGGATCGATACCTCCCATCTCCATTTTTTTTTAGTGTTTACCATGCATAATACTCACATAACAAGAGAACGAAATAAAATCTTCAAAATCGATGTATAAACCATGGGCCTGGACCTGGGAGGGCCATGGACTATCAAAAACTCGGCGGAGACAAGCTGGGGAGAGCAAGGCTACATGAGGCTGCAGCATGGAAACCATGACCTCCCACTGGGTCGATGTGGATTGAATGGCTTCGTCTACTTTCCTGTCAAAGAAAAGGTACCACCATCTCCATTACCGCGACTGCCATCTCCGCCACCACCCTCTCCTCGACCACCGCCATCACCCCCAGTTCCGTGCTCCAGGAGGATTTAGCTTCAGATTTATTTCGTTGATTTCAAACTTTGCGTGCTAAAGCCCAGCTACCAGATTCATAAAGATAAGGTGAGAAAACAAGATTGAAGTTGAGGTCCAAGACTTACTTTGCAATCTTTCACAGGTGTGGTGGCTCCCAAAGTTCTCCAGTCGATGTTGCCAAACATTCGGCTGCCTGCATCCCCATCTGGAACACTTGCGGCATTTGCATTTGCAGCAAGTCCAGGGGATGAGGGGACATTCTTAGACTCGTTGAAGCATATAGGCAACAGACCAAAGCATTTCACAACGCCCCACGAGACATGGGGGTGAACACTCCATCTTATAAACACTTTGACAGACTTTTGCTGGAGCGAAAATCAGAATTCATGAGGCCTTCAACTGCGGACTGGACCACATTTTGAAAACTCTTTATGGAAGATTAAAGATGGTCTTCCTTCTCTGGCATTTTCCTTTCAGTTTCTTTGTTGCTAGAAGCAGGCCGAAGAAAAAGGTGTCGAGCACGCTTGGGTAGCCTCAACGTTGCCTGGGGATGTCTTGGGCGATCGATTCCTTTGTTAGCTCAGTTTGTCACTTCAAATTTCCTATCTTAGCTGAGTTCTGATTGCCGTTTCGCTTTTGATTTGTGTTTGCTCTAGAGGGTAGAATTGAGCGTTTTACAGGTCGCGCGTCGCTATAAGCTTATTTATAATCTCTTTTGGTTTGCTGTTAAGTAAATCAGCTTTGTTTTTTTTATAATGATCCAGATTTTATTATCATTCGTTTTAATGGGTAGGATTTGTTTGCTAAACCACAGGTTGCCACCTCCTGGTTTAGGAGTGTTGTGATGGGAGGTGAAGGCATTCTCGGATGTGCTCAAAAGGGGCATTCTTAACATTTGATATGTGTTTTAAACTCTTGTGTGATTCACTGGTCACTGTACGTTAATAGTGGGCATTTGGCCAATGGTCGGCAATTATCTTCTTATGTTTGCATCATTAACAAGGAGCCTTGGGAAGGGATGTATAATGTTAATATTACTATTGAAAAACTAGTGTGATATAATCATAGTAATAAATCAGTCACGCTCAATAATTATTTTCTAAAAAGGGAGAAATATTCTTGGTATTTAGAGTAGAATATTCAAACACATTAGAATATCATTTCAGTATTTTTATGAATACGAAAATTTTAATTTATTGTTTTAAATAAAAACTAAAAAAAATTCAAGAAAACCAGTTACCATACCAGAATCTTCAAGAAACCTAGCAAGCAAAGAATCACCCAGCAAGAACCCATTCTCGTTCACACTTGATGTATCACTCTAGCTTGCAACAATGCAAAAAAAGCAATCCCAAGAACTGTGGTTAATAAAAGTCAGATTGCCAAAATAATAAGAATGATATAAATTCTTTTGCTATGAACAGCTTCTATACAAGCTTGTCACGAGAGCATAGCCAGCCGGATCATTTCCTTGCGATGCTTCCATAAGCGATTGAAACGCAAACTCTCCGATCGCCACATTCTTCCACTTGAGACAAGCCGCGAGGAGACTCCTCCAAGTCACCACAGTAGCTCTCATAGGCATGCTTTCCAGCACCGCCACCGCTTGCTCCATCTCGTTTGCTCGCGCGAGAAGATCCACCACGCAGTGGTAGTGCTCGATCCCTGGGATCACTCCAAACTCCTCCATGGCATGGAAGTATCTCTTGCAATGGAGGACGAGACCGGCGTGGTTGCAAGCCGTGAGAAGGCTGAGAAAGGTGGCACCGTCGGGATGGAAACGCTGCTCGTCCTGAAGAGCGCGGAAGATCTGGAAGACCATCTTGGAGTTTCCCTGGCGAGAGAATCCAGCCATGAGTGAGTTCCAGGAGACGACGTCGAGCTTCGGAGGCTGGAATGAATCAAAGACGAGCTGGGCGTCGATCATGCTGCTACACTCTCCAAAGGCGTGGATGAGAGAGCTCACGACGGTGTTGCTTGCTGCGTCGCCGTGATCGTGATCGTCGTCGTCGTCGTCGATGGTAGCGCGTCTAAAAACTTGAGCTTGGATCGACTTGGTGGCCCTCAGATCCGCCAAGCTCGAGCAGGCCTTGAGAGCCGCGAGGAGGAGAGAAGTTATCCTTTGCCTCTGGAGATCCTCGAAGGCTTTGATCGTCTCAAACAGCAGCAATGCCTTCTCGCTCTCGTGATTCTCGACGTATCCCAGCATCATCACTGTCCAGGAAACCTGAGAAATGTGCTCCTTTCTCTTCCAGAAAACCCGCTCGGCGTCGACCATACTTCCGCATTTGGCGTAGCAGTCCACCAGTGTGTTCGTCACGTATCGGCCAAGAGCAAGCTCCCTAGCTTGAGAGTGGATCGCCAAGCATCTCTCCAAGTTCACCATCTTCACCACCTTTCCATCGACTTGCCGGGGCTTCTCTTTTGCTGCGAGCTTGGAGCAAGCCTTCAGCACGGCAACTAAAGTGTGAGCATCGGGTGAAACCTCTCCATCCTGCTGCATCGCCGAGAAGAGCTCAAAACTCTTCTCCGCATCGCCGTTTTCCGCGTAGCCGAGAATGAGCGCGTTCCAAGAAACCGGGCTGCGAGAGCTGGCCCGGTCGAAAGCTCGCTGCGAGTCTGCCATGCTTCCGAGCTTGGAGTACATGTTGATGAAGCTGGTTGCGACGAACACGTCCAAGTCGAGGCCGAGCATCACAGCCCGAGAGTGAACAGCCATCCCGAGCTCCAACACTTTCGATGTTGCCGTGAAATCTATGTTGTCTTTGTCGGAGTTTTCGGTCGCGATGGTCGTGCAAGCTCTCACTGCTGCGACGAAAGTCCGCGTGCTCGGCTCGAACGGCATGCTCGAAAAGAGCTCGAGAGCTCTTCTTCCTTTCCCATTGTCCGCATAGCTCAGTATCAAAGCGTTCCAAGACACCAGAGTCCGATCGCAGGGAGCCTCGTGAAAAACTTTCTTGGCATCCTCCAAACTTCCACTCTTCCCGTACGAATCCACGAGGGTGTTGGTCAGGAGAACGTTGGAATCGAGTCCCAGTTTCACTGCCTCGCTGTGAAGAGCCATAACTTTCTCCAAGAGCAAAAACTTTCTTCCACGATCGAGATGATCTTCCTGTTGCTCCGAGACTCTCACACAGGCTTTGAGCGCCGCTATGAAAGTTTGTGCGTTTGGAACACACGCAACCTGCAGCATCCAGTGAAAAAGTTTAAGTGCAAACTCTCCATCACCACTCTCGACATACCCGAGCATCAAAGCGTTCCAAGAGCCAACTTCGCAGCGATCTTTGATGTTCTCAAAAACTCTGAATGCGCTGTCCATGCTCCCAGATCTAGAATACATCTCAACCAATGCCACCGCCACGAACAAGTCGAGCTCCAGGCCCAGCTCCAAAGCTCTCGAGTGAATTTCCATTCCTGTCCATGCTAACCAATCCCGAGAGCGCGAGCTCGACTTGGCCTTGAGGCATGCCACCAAAGTCCGGGAGTTTACGTCACAGCCCTCGAGCTGCATCAGTGTGAAGAGCTCAAAAACCCGATCAAAATGCCCGTTGTCGGCAAATGCCAGCAGCATGGTGTTCCACGAGGCTGTGCTGCGTTGTGCCATCCTCTCGAAAAGTCTTTGAGCTTCCAGCAATGAGGCACACTTGGCATACATGTTGACGAGCGAGTTTGCGACATAGATGTTTGAGTCCCGGCCGGTGTTGATGGCTAGCGCATGAATGAGTTTCCCGGCAGTAAGATCTCTGGCCTGTGTCGATTGCTTCAGTGCGGCTAGCAACGACGAGATGCTGCTAGAATGCTGCTGCTGTAAATAACACATTTGGAACTTTCTGGACACCGGATTAGAAACAAAAAAGCCACCATGAAACAAAGCTTACTGAAGAAACCAAGTGATTCCCAGAAAACTGTTACCTCGCGTCGCTTTAATTTACATAGGCAATGACCTGTATGTACAGTATTCGCGATGCAAAATTTATAAAGAATATATATATATCATTCTGCAGAACAGACGATTTCAACAGTAAGATTGAATTTCACTTGGAAAGCAAACCTTCTCCTGTTGGAGGTAGCAAGTCGGTACTTGGTAGCAAGGTGGACGGGACTATTTCACCCCGGATGAAAGCAGCAAGTTCTATCGGAGCAACCACCAAATTCAACCATTTTTGTAACACTTCGCCTTCCACCTTCTCTTCCGCTGCCAGAAAAACGACGTAAAACCTGTTGGTAGCGAAAAGATTAAGGTACCTTCAAGCTGCGCTCCAAGTCCTTCAAGAACATTCGGATTCGATCGAATCACCAACAAAGCCATACCAAGTGCCGATTGAAGTAAAGTCCTGACTTCTCGTTGCACCAGGTCCACCATGTGTCCCTGTAGAACACAAGTTAGCAAACGAAAGAAAAACAAAATTTTCACAAATCTTACTTGGTCTTTGGCCCAAGGAAAAGCCGAACCCGAGTCATCAAGACCACCACCGGACAACGTTGCAAGTGAGATCGGACCAATGGAAGGATGGAGGCCATATTCAGCAATCGCCTTATATGCCACGTCTGTCGCTCGTTTGATATCATCTAGTGCTCCAGTTGAGACTCTGCCCGAGTAAACAACCTCCTCGGCTGCGCGGCCGCCTAGCAAAGTCACCAGACGGCCCCGTAGCTCGTCCACAAACAACAAGTATCGGTCCTCAGACGTTGGTGGTATGTATGTGAAGCCAAGAGTTCCTCCTGTCCTCGGAAGAATGCTTAGCTTCTACAAAACGAGAAACAAAAGCTATAGCTAAGCCCGTTCCAATAACTTCAGAACATACCTCTACTCTTGTTTGCCCGGGAAGTAGATTTGCGACTGCTGTTCCTACGACTGCGTGCCCGGCCTCGTGTCTAGCAACCACGCCCTTCTCACTGCCGTGAAGCATAGAACGTTTCTTCTCTATGCCCTGCGAGCGTGCTAACCACACGTTATCACGGAAGAATGATCTCAATTGAGAAAGTTCTTACCGCCACAGCACGCTCAACAGCACGCGAAAACTCCACTTTCCCGACTTCAAGCTTATTTTCTCTACCAGCTAGTAGAGCAGCCTCGTTTACAAGGTTTGCAAGATCCGCTCTGCGTATACAGGGTCGTAAGCCAAAATATTTGCAATCTACACTCTTACCCCGTAAAACCCGAGGTAGCCCCGGCAACAGCATTCAGGTTGACGTCCTTCGAAAGAGGCAAGCCCTTCTTTGTGACGTGCACGTTTAAAATCTCTTCCCTTCCTTGCCGATCGGGTGGTTCCACCTGGAGACAGTGTAAAAGACAATTCCTTGCAAATACTTAATTTCTCACCATAACAATCCGATCAAATCGTCCGGGTCGCCTCAGGGCGGGGTCTAGAACATCTGCTCGATTCGTAGCTCCAATCACGATAACAGTTGATGCGGACTCGAAGCCGTCTAATTCCTGTATAAAACAAGAGGTAAATTATTACAAAAGATGGCTATTCCAGCGCTGACCGTCAGGAGCTGATTCAATGTCTGCTCGCGCTCGTCATTGCTGACACTACGCAGCCGGCCATCTCGTCCTTTAGCAACCGCATCAATCTAGAAAGAGCAATAAAAACGGATAGAGAAGGGTTTGCGTTTGCATGAGTACCTCATCAATGAAGACGATAGAAGGTGCATTCTTCTTGGCCCTTGCAAATAGCTCACGAACTCTGGAAGCACCCATGCCAACGTAGAGCTCGACAAACTCACTCGCTGAGCAGCTTATGAATGGAACGCTTGCTTCTCCTGCCACGGCCTTAGCCAGTAGAGTTTTGCCTGTTCCAGGAGGACCAACCTGTGCCACGCAGCCTTCAGATTTCACCATCGCACGCCCTCAAAGTAAATCACTTACTAGCAACACTCCTCGAGGTGGCCGGGCACCCAGTCTTGCGTAGCGCTCCGGAGACCGCAGAAACTCCTACAATCGGTTGTGAGTGTCAAATGCTTTTCGTAAGACGGAAGCACGTACCACTATTTCTTCGAGCTCTTCCTTGGCTTCATCAACCCCTGCAACGTCTGCAAACATAATAGGACCCTCTCGATCGCGGTCTTTGCTGTCCTTTTTGTTTCGCAAGCGTCCAGTCGTCCGCTAAACACGGCACAAGTCATGAAAAACGAGCACTATCAACTGGAAAACTGCTTTGCTTTACCTGTGGAAACTTTATGGGAAATCTGGCAAGTAGTCCGGCAACAAGTCCGATATACAACAAACCAATCTGCCAAAAATGATAAGATAAACGGACAAAAGAAAACGAAATAACCATCTTACCGAGAAAGAACTTATAGCACCAAAAGACCGCTTATCGGGAGCACCAAACTCCACACCATTCTCGATCATCTTTTGGTAGGGAGTCACGATATCACTCGGCCTTGTGGTTGTGTAGAGGAACTTCTTGGATGGAGGAGAGGCAGCAGCAGCAGCTATGACAATGGCGTCCTCGGGTGACGAAGAAGAAGAAGAACTCTTCGTCTCGGCGTTGGAGTTTGCTGCTGCTGCTGCTGCTGCTGCTGTTCTCCTCGCCGTCTCGGCCGCCAGCCTCGCTCTCTTCCTCAGCGAGAAAGTAAAGTGGACGCCATCCACTTCCACGTTTTCCACCTCGTTCCTCTCAATCCTATGGAGAAACTCGCTAAAGGCAACGCTGACATAGTGGACGTTTGCTTCCGCGCCAGCCGATGGAGCTCCAGGCGAGCCCGGGAATGGAAGTCCCGGCCTCAAGAAGCGCATGAGCATGAGCACCACCCCGAGCTGGAGCAGCAAAGCTCCAATCTCATGAGCCTGGGTGGCGGCGCCCTTGGAGCCCCAGCTCCACAGATTCCACGCCCACTTCGGCCGCCTCCACCATCCCTGCTGCGATCGATGGTGAGACGGCGGCTGGGAATCCTGGCCGCCGCCTCTTCCCGACGTGCTAGTGCTTGTGCCGCCGCCGCCGCCGCTGCTATCGTCGTCGCCATTGTGCTCCTCGCTTGGCGACGAGCCCTCCGAGGCGAAATTGGAGGCGAAATCTCTTGTTCTCCGGGGATAGAGCAGGGATTTCTTCACCAGCAGCCATTGCTGCTTCCTCCGGAGGCCTAGTTGGTGCCCTGGATTGGAGAATCGCCGGCCAGTGAGCGAGAGGTGAATCTGGAGGCCAACCTGTGGCGAGAAATAAGAAGATGCACACCTGAGCGAGGAGGAGGAGGAAGAGGAGGATTGGTGATGGAGAAAGAGTGCCGCGCACCAGGAGCAAGCGTTCATCGTCGCAAATCACCGCGCCCTACCACATTTTAGGGCTCCTCTGGTCTAAAACCTAAGCATGCTTAAGCTTTGTTTGATTCGTGATATTATAATGTTTCTAATTACTCGAGGAGGCTGGAACACGTCTAGCTAAAACATTATTGTACTTCTTGGACTCACAAATTTAAACGAGCCATGAAGAGGCTATGAGAAGATGATAGAGAAGAAGTGTGGATGCTTTGCCGTTAATCACAGATTTGGAAGGGAAAATGTTCTCTTGAACAAAAAAGATTCGTGAGATCATCTTTTATGCCAAAAATATATTTCCCCGTAAGACACTTTCACTAAGTTGGGCATTTGCCAGCAGATTTTCCAAGTACTTTTCGCTCTTTGGATGTGGTGGTGACCTATAACAGGTTTTGCAAGGTTTACAACACGATGAGGCTGAGAGGCTACTTGAAGATATGGGTGTGCTCCAATGGTGATAACTTACATAATGCTCATTGGCAAATTCACCAAAATAGACAGGTTAGTGGATGTATACTGGGTTATTGAGGACTTATCATTGAGGACATATGTATTGGGTGATATTGGGTGAGGAAGTAACATGGAGAAATTAAGAAAATAAAGGAAGAAACAATGTGGAAGAATAAAAGAAACCTTGGAAAAGGAAGAACAAAAGCTAGATAAAGAATGAGAGTCAGAACTGATTAATGTGTTAGTAAAAGAGAATACTAGAAATTATGAAGAAATAATGTGATAAGAAGGTGGCTCAGTCTAAGACAAAATAAATATTCTAGAAAGAGGAAAAAGCAGATGAAAGAGAATTAGATGATAGATTTAAGAACACTTTATATCATATAAAACTTCAAACTCACCCTCAAAACTATTGAACTCCTTACTAATTTAATTTGAGCTCAAATATAAGTTGCTTGAGGAGAGAAGAAGAATGTGTGTGATTTCATAAGATTAGAGAAGAGAACAGCAAGAGCATGACTAGTTGAATTTAAATTATATCTATCTCAAATGTATGTTCAAAATTTCAAGTAGAGATACCCAGTAGCAAGTAGATGATAGCAAGGCTGCTAACAAGATAAATAGAGTCTAAACCTTATTAAATCTACCACCATATAGTTCTTTAAGTATGTTGCAAATGTTCATAATTCCTAGCCAAAAGTTTCCTCACACAAAAATTTAAGAAACTTTATTTACTAAAAACTTACCCCAACCAAGGAAAGATGGCATTATATTCATAGCTCACAAAATTCAATTGGATTTGCAAGTAGGGTCTCTACTAGAATTGAGATTAGGAGTGCCATGTAGATTCTATTGCATATGATTCAAAGAAAAGAAAATAAAGATGACTTTATGAAATTGCTTATAAGCTATAATTAAAACTCTTTAAAACACTTTAAAGTTCACTCCAAAAACTCTTTTAAATGCTTTTAAACACTGTTAATTGCTCTAACCTTAAAGACACAACACATTACAAGCTCACAAGCAAGTATATAGAGGTTTAACTTCTAATCCATAAGTTAGATCTCTCATCTAACAACTTTCCAAAGGCAATTATATCCAAGCCCGAGACATAACCTAACCCTTCCCTATTGTTGCCCTCTTTTTTATAGTAGCTGATTTCCTCTAGATCCTTGTTATCCTTCAGTGTAAATTCCTTCCACAACTTTTAAGAAATATCTATGTCATACTCTAAATGCCACATCCATCAAAACATAACTTTAATATAGTGGCATAATAGGTCCATAAAGTAAAAATGTTTAAAGAAAAGACCAAAACTACACCCCACCAACTCATTTGAGCCCTCCTTTGCTCCAACCCTCAACTGGATCTTCATTATCCTTGAACTCTGTAAGACTCATTGTTCATTATTTTTAACTTCCCCATGTCATTATACTCACTAATTCTTCAAATATGGCCACTTCCCATAAATTGTAGCAGCTATCATCATGATCATCACTCCAAAAAATACTCTCTTCCCCTAACTCTTGAAAGAACTTCCTTTTGAAGAGAAATAGCCACATTTGATTTTCACCATTTATTACCTAGACTCTTCATTCTTATTTGATTTTGATGCATATGAGACATTCATTAGCTTGCAAGTAGCCTTAGCTTCGCTAATCCCCTCTTTTGCCACTTGAAAGAACATTTGTAATGGTTTATCCTTATATATTGCAACCCATGCCTTCACTGTAACAATACATTGTAAAAGATTTGTCATGCCATGGAATCAACTTCATCTAGGTCTTAGTTTAGAATATGAGTCACATGCAATAGATTTGCCTGATAGACTTGCACAGGTTTGTCAAGTTTGTACTTCCTGCACCTGTTGGTGGGATTGCCAAGTTGCAATAGCTACCTACACCAAGTCACCACCTCTTCTCAAGTTTTCATATAATCCTTGCTCCTTTGGGAAACAAACTAATGTTATGCTTCTCTATCTAGAGATATGCACAAAGCATTTATTATTTCCTCTCCCTTTACCTTTTTGTTCCACGCAGCACATTCAAAAGTGCCCCTTCACTAAGTCACCTGGTAATTGAGGATCACACATCAAATCTAGAAGCGTCTTCCTGATCCTATCACCTTCTTGGCTATGTCAAGAACTTTACCATCCTCAAGTTGCAGGACATCGCTAGTCAGATCCTGCTCATGATCACGAGTAGAGGTCCTTTCTTTGCCACTGTTTGCCACCATAAAACTGCTTAAGAAGCCTGCATTTCAATGCGAGAACAATAGGGTGTTAACAACTCCAACTACTGTACATTAACCAGTCTTTAGACAGAAAACAAGCATTCCATCTTTGGTTGATTGAATCAAGCTACCACAGCTTAAAACAAAACAACACCACATAGTCTTGTCCCATGAAACTACCACAGCTTCAAATGAAAATTATGTGACATTCCAAGTCACTCAAACAGCCACCACAACAATCTAGAATGACTAATGGACCCAGCTTATTCATAATGGTACTCCCATCTCCACCAAAGAATGGGCATATGCTTAAATGAGGTCCATGATCATATTTCAAGTGAAAACATTTATATTGCTGAAGGGGAGTGAGGGAGGGCTAAAGTGAGTGGATAAGACTCATTGCACCTCACTTGTGAGACAAAAAAAGACCCTCAAATTTTGTTTTAGTTAATTTTTCTTTTGCTCCCTTCTAGGCCCACAAGCATTAAATGAGAGTGAGGAATAGGTCCAATTCCATTGTTCCACGAGTTGCAATGTTGACCATTAAACATTTGTTGTGTTGTCCTTATCGTTATCATGGACCGCCAATTGCTACAGTATACACTGTAGGAATTGCAACTTGTTAACATCAACACAGGAAAAAAAAACATTTTTCACATATATAAGTATTCAAAGGTCTCATGGTTGTTGTGCATCCCTTCCTTCTTCTTCTACTGTTCTGGTACTATGGCGCAGTCTACGGTCTCTATTGACAATGCAAAGCTGCAAGATGAAGGGGCTGGTGAGTGATAGCTTTTGAACTTGCTGAATAAGCTCATAATTTCGTTTGTGCGTTTAGATCAATATGTGCAAGCATTGGGGCTAAAAGGTCTGTTTCATTCATTCATTTATACATGCTCTCGCAACACCATGAGATTGTTTGGACTGTTTTCATTCATAGATATGTTTCTGTATTGCAGGAGGGTCTATTACAGAAGGGACTACAAAGGACAAGAAGGACATCCAGCATTTGCTGGAGTATTGGCACGATGATATCCTAGATGACACCAGGCTTCCACAGGTATATAAGGATTTCCTACATTACATTGTTGCCATTGTTATTCTATCAGAGAACTCTACTTGGTCCGTTCAAGAAAAAAGATGGCTTCTACAAGGATGGATGGAGGCTTGACAGTCAAAGTAATGGGCCCTTTGTGAAGTTCCCTAAAGAAGATCCCAACACTAAGTACCAGAATTTTGCCATCCAGTGGGAAAAGTCAGTCTTTTCATGTGTGGTTGCTAGAAGGAGTTAAAGGTGGCTGTTATCAAGAGGAAGTCTGGAAACACTTGGGAGATTGTGATGGAAAAGTAATCTCCCATGTTAATTATGTTTGTACTATATTATTATGCTTGCTCTGTTTCATTCGCAGCTCTCTGCTTTGTCAACTTTTTCGACTCCATAGCTACCAAGAATCTCCTGTGCTCTTGGCTGTGACAAGGAGACTCCAACCGTGATGAGCTTGATGGGAGACGGAGGATGATATAAAGTTTCTCTCAGTTCTAGCTTGCTCTGATCGATTGAGAGCACTACCACTCACTGCATGATCGATCTGCAATAGCCATGGTGAAGAGTATGCCATATCGAGCCACTCCAATCACCTGGAACACGCTGCTAGCGACCTTATAAGTCCTGGCAGTGTCGTGAAGGGACTCCAAGAGACCATGAAAGCTGCCCAGTGGCTCACGTCGTAAAGCTTCCGGCTTACCATCATTGGCCTCGATCATCTCCACAACAGCCTCCCTGAGAGGTCTCGCAATATCCATTCCTTGGACCAGATTTCTGTATATCTTCTCCATGCGCACCTGAGTGGACTCTCGGGAGCACAAAATCCTTTGTTCCATCACCCTCTCGGATCAAGGCTGTGTGCGTTGGCACTCTTTAGAAGGGATTCGACCCCTTGGCATAGTATAGATCTCTGGTGGGGCGAACGCGATTGCCGTTGCTGCTGCTGTTGCAGGACCTGTCACAATGCTTCAAGAGCCTTAACGAGGAAATAGTTGCTACAGCATACCTCTCGATCAAATATTTGTTGTCCTCATCGATCATGGCATCAAATGGCACAAGGGAAATATCAGCAAAAAAGACAAGAAACTAGTGCTCACCTCATTCAGAACTATAACCAGTGAATGTTTTCCAGCTGTGATTCAAAAGGCTTGACAATAACATGGTAGTATCTTTGAGGTACAAGAGTTGAAGTCGCATTCTCGGTTATGCCCGCGTTGTGCAACAGGTAGAGGCGAGATATGACCAAAATGACTGTGTCGATTCCAACGTCTTTGAAAATGACTTGGACTTGCCCCCATGCTTTCTCGTCGTCCATGTCGAACTCGTCATGCTTCTTGCGGTCACCTTCGGTTGTGGCCAAGAACAGCACGTCCCTTGCATGACCCCTCTCAAACCAGAAAATTGCCCGCAGAACAAAAACAGTAAAATAAAAATACTTGAACTCGCTCAAAGCGTATAGGGAACTCTGAACCTGATCAAAGTTGTACTTCATGGTTTTTAAGTCCGTGATCCTTCCTGTGCTAAAGAGCCAAAATTTGAATTTACCCGCAACCAACACCTGTGCAAAAAACTGATCAAAACAGGGAAAAAAAAACCCAAAAAACACATTATAACATTAAGTTTTATTAATCTAAATTTTATTACTACTATAATCTAAAACTTGTAATTTGAATAGCATAAGGATATAAATCAAGACTTAGGATTAATTCGTTGCGTCTCACTACATAACAACATATTAGCAATACAAGTGATACAGTTATAGACTTACCGACAAATACTCTCTGATCTTATTTCTTCTTTTTCTTAAAGGTTTTACTTTTCTTTTTGCTGAGAAAAAATAAAATTTTAATTTTACTATTAAAATTTAGTAAAATATTACCTTGTTTCGGCCACCACAAGCTCTTCTGCTGCATTTTCATTCGCTCCTCGATTGCCAATTATATTTCGCTCAGCCTCCTTGATCCTTTCCATCTGTTTCTTGCGAATTCCAGCGACAGAAGACACTTGCAATGCTCCTTTGAATCCTTGGATGTATTGGCAAAAGTCCCGAACCAAATACCCATCAGAATCATTTTCCGGTATCCAATTTCTACCACCGGTTGGCGCTGTGATGAGGTAGTGTTCCCTTATAGCACAGGCCCAGAGTGATGCAGCAGATGCTCTCCCACCATTAAACTTTACTTCTTGGCATGCCACATCCTAATACACCAGAACAAGAAGCACAAAGTGAAGCAAGTAACACATTGCAAAACAAATGTCAATTGGTGTGTAGAGATAATGTGGAAACTGAGCTAACACACCTCATAATCTCTAGGCCAAGAAACAGACTCCTCCTTCTCCACTGCTGCCACCTCCTCCTCCGTAGCCACCTTCTCGAATAGCCTAACCCTAAAACAACTAAAAAAGTTTCCAGGCTAAATTTGAAGAGGAGCCTTGTAAACAGTATATAAGCTAGCTAACCATTCCAATAAAATGGCAGCTGCAAATCTTGGCGGGATTTGACAATTATTACTACTGATTTTGTTCTGCTTTATGCTAATCCAGGCGTGACTCGTGGTGCGCAGTCGTCTTCTTCCACAGCGACTGGATAGATATAGAAAAACACTGTTTACTTTTCTAGAAACCATCTAGAAGAAACTCACAGCTACTTGTGCCGCCGCTCTTTTCCAATGGCGATGGCGATGCGTTGTGCTGCTACCACCCTCCCGCCGCTGTGGTGCCGCTTGCTACTCGCGAGGAAGATGGCCTACCTTCCATCGCCGTATGCTCTCGACATGACCAAGGATCATATGTCGGAGCGCGAGCACTCCCTGGAAAACATGTACTTCTGGGTTCGTTTCTTCTTCCTGAGAGCAAAAGAGAGAATTTCAGTGGCTTAGATAGGCAAATTTACTTACATTTGGTGCTTGTTGATGCAGAAAAAGGAGCGGGAGCTCCTCAAGAAGCTCGCCAAGAAGGTCGGTATTCTTTTTGTAGGATCTCCAGTGTCTGATAAGAATCGCAGGCCGGAATCGAGGTCGAGGATACTCGACAAGTGGTGCCGCCAATTGTCCCTCTGCCAAACTCGGCTTTTACAGTCACTCTCTTGGGGCTGGAGAACGAGGAGCTTCGAGCTGCAGAGGGATGAAAGTTCCAAGCAAGGAGAAGCTTGATCGACTTGTAAGATGTGTGATATATAACTCCAATGTGAAGAGATAAAGAAGAAAATTTGCTCAAGCAAAGACTCACATTCCAGTAGATGATCCCTGAGAGCGTTCTTCGCCGCTCTTCCTCTCTCTGCTTAGATACAAGAATCTACGTTCAAGAAGGAAGATGAAGCTTCTCGTTGTTCCTCCAGCTGCAACGCAAAACAGAAGAAGGATCAGCACACACACTCAAGAAAAAAAAAAGACAAAAAATTGGATTGGAAAAAAAAAAATGGATTGAAATTCCGTACCACTTGATGTAATAGTAAAAGAAGTCCGCATACAGTGCGGTCTGTACAATTCCAGATATCCATGCTGCACACGGGAAAAAACGGAGAAGAAATGAATTTAAAATCCTTGGTAAGTTGTGATATAAAAAAAAATGTCATACTTATCCATTGCCTGTAGCCCTTTTCAGTGAAATACCGAACGATCCAATTCAACAGATACAGCCCTCGATATGCCCTGAAATGCAATCAAAAACATGAAACAAAAGCAAGTTTGTGAGGCGTACCCAAGCAAAAAGACATAGTTCCCGGTGAGGTTGTCGATGTTTTTGGTTCGCTGTAGCAACACCAGCTGAGGAAAGATCGCCACAGCCTCCAGGTAGATAGAAAACGTCCACAAAACCTGCCATATTCGAAAAACTTAGATGATATCATACCAAAAGGAAAGAATGAGAAAAAGAGGAAAAAGGAAAAGCAAAGAAGAAAGATCATCTACCAAAGAAAAGAGGTCGGTGCCAAGTATAACTTACCTCCAGTGGAGTGAATTTGGTCTTGATCAGGAGCGCGAGAGCAAAGCATGGAATGATCAGCATGTAATGCTTGAAAGTGTCCTGCTCCTTGTCGTAAGTCTGGCGCACGACCTTGTGATGCCTCATGTACCACACGATCGTGAAAGAGGTTCCGAGAAAAATTATTTTCATAACCGTGTTATAGAGCGAGACATGGTGCGTGAAAATATCCAAGTAGCGCGTCGCAAAGACGAGGGCATAGAGCTCCTGCGTCTTGAGAGAAATCCCTGCGCAAAGATTTCTAAGCAGCACGAAATCAAAAGAATCGAGGAAAATTTTCTCTCTTCCCTTACCGGCGCAAGACTTGATGGTGTGGATCTTGAGCAGCAGCACCACGACGCTGAGGAGATGGGTCATGTCGCCGCAGAGCCGGAAGATATTCATCGCTGCTGCTCCGATTGATCGGCCGCTCCACGCTCTGATCGATCGCGGCTTAGAAACCCTCCACGCTCTCGATCGATCGCGCCTAGAAACCCTACTCAGGAAAAAAATGTGCCTATAGATTTAAATTTTAGGGCATTCATTTAATTCATGACTTCACAGGCGAGAGATTTGGAGCGGGATGGCGAGCTCGATTTCTTCCGCCATGGCCGGCTGGAAGAGCTCCAGATCCTTGCATCGCTCCTCGATGGTCTTGCGGCACTCGGCGGCAGCGAGAACTCCAGTGGCAAACGCGCCGTGGACGGTCCCTGGAAAGCTGCTGCTCGTCGCCTCTCCAGCGAAGAACACGAGATTGTCCACTGGAGCGCGCAGTCGATCGTAGGCGCCGTGAGAGACACCCACGGCGTCATAGGTGTAGCAGCCGAGGGAGTTTACGTCGGATCCCCAGTGAGACACCAAGCACTTGGTCTGCAAGAAGGAAAACAAGAGTTTTTAGCTCCAAACTAGAGACCAAAGAACAGCAAAGAACTTACCGGCAAGGAAGCGTTTGGCAATATCTTCTTGAGCTGCGAGAACGCGTAATTCTTGGCGGCTGATTCACTCAGCTTCTCCAGATCGTTGGCGAGATTTCCAGCGGGCATGTAGACGAGAACCGGGTGTCCCGTGGCTTTGTGCAAGTTGAGGAAGTAGCTGCACTCGTACGTGGTGGAAGCGACCACGCCCAGGAACTCGACGTTGGGCCAGAAAACGTTGTCGAAGAGCATGGCGATCTTGTTCTCGTTTCCGACACCCAGTTCATTGATGGCTTTTACTTTCCAGTCCGGGAGTTGAGGCTCAAAGTTTATGATCTTGGCTTGGAGCACTCCGAGAGGAGCAGCAACAACGATCGCGTCGGCGTTGAAAACCTTTCCATTTTCTACAGCAACGCGGACACCTTTCGGATGTCGACTTATTTTTGTTACTCTGGACAGACAAAATGCAAAGAAAAAAAGAAAAACTCATCAGTCGTGGACTATTGTGTTCTTGCGCGTGTTACCTGTGATTCAATTTTATATCGAGTCCTTCGGCCAAAGAGAAAACGACAGGCCAATAACCTTTGACCATGAGGCCGTGGCCACCTTCAAGTAATTCTTCCTGCACACGAAAGGATCTGAGTCACGGGGAAGAGAATTGGTCATGTCTCACCTCATCCCAGCTCTGGAGGGAGATTTTATCTGCGTCAGCAGCAAACCATCCTTCCAGTCTACATAAGTACCACTGTAAAACTCGGTGTCCCAGGCCTTCTTGTCTGAAACAGGGATATTTAGTGCTAAGTCGGAGTAGGAAAGCTCGTACCTCAGGTCTGGACGTCTTTTAAGTATGATCGAGAAGGCCTGCTTCAGCGACATATCTTGTGCAAACTCCTCACGAACTTTCTTAGTCTGCACGAAAAGAACCAAAGGAGTTTAACGCTATGCTTTCTAACAAACAGTAAGATACCTCTTCAAGCAAGGCCTCGAAAACTTCGCCCATTCTAGTCACCAGCTGCGGTGGAATCTGGTTCCCTGCCGTGTCGAAGAGAGCATAGCTGCAAAATCATGGAACGAGTTAGAAATACCTTAGAACCACAACATTCCAGAAATATCTGCGGCAACTAGACGAACTCGAGCTAACGAATTAAATTTCCCTGAAATCACATCACCTCTGGAAGATAAATCTCAGTCATAGTCGCTGATGCCAGAGCCTGCAAGCCTGATTCTTGATAGAAACCTGGAGCAACTATATTAACCCAGAGCTCCCAAGAACTCAACATAAGAAAAAACAGAATGCTCTGTCCTTTCCCATGCAGCTAGAGAGTAAAAGTAGCTACTTTGTGCACACTCAGACTCACTCCTAGATTTCGAGTGTTCCTACCACCTAGATGACGCCTATCAAAAACAAATTTGCTTGCCTTTCAAGGTCGTGGTCATAGAGGACAGAGTCGTCCCCACTTGTTCGGTAAAGAGGCAGCCTCAAACGTCCTATCAAGGAAGCCAAGGGGTTGTCTTGGCAAACTCCATGTAGCCTGCACAGAAGAACAAGATCGTCTCGTTTCTTTCCTTAAAAGATTTGCTCTTTTCATAAACTACCATGAGGCACCCATATCAACAGGAAATCCGAAAGAAAAGTCTGTATAGATCCGACCTCCAATTCGATCTCTTGACTCGAGTACCGTCACCTACAAAATCAAATGAACAAAATGAATAAGTGAAGAACAAAAGAGACAAGGATTCCCACCTTGAACGCTGCTTTGTGAAGCATTCTTGCAGCTGCCAAGCCGGAGATCCCAGCCCCTACAACGAGAACAGTAGGAGAAGATGACGATGAATCATCTGAGGAAAGAGAGAGGAATTAGCAACAAAGAGGTGGAAACAAAGTAATTCTTACTGGATGATAACATCGTGGGTGCCATTGCGTGTAGAAGAAAGCCGACAATTCAATTTTTATGGTGTTTACTACTACTGGGTTGTGATAACGAGGATGGATCCAGGGAGCAAAAGAGATACTTGAAGGGAAATATAAAGAACAGAAAAACGAAGTAACCGAGATGAGGCGAAAGCAACCTCAGGCATACACAAACTCCAGACATGCACACTTACTAGAGGAGGAACACACAAAGCAAATCAAAGCAAAGAAAAGGAAAGGAGAACAACGAGAGAAAATTCAACCCAAGGATCTAGAAGTGGCAACTGAGTTGAAAGAGTGGATTCCAGGGAGGAAAAAAGGGGATTTTGAAGAAGAAGCCTGGCGTGTGGCACGTATCCCGTGAGAAATGGATGGTGGAGAACGCAAAAAGGAGAGAACACGAGAAAAACAAGACTATGGACGGACGGATGGACTGGAGGATGGGACTTCTCTCGCGCGAGAAGGGTGACACACAAGCACGAAGAAGAAACGGCAAACAAGCAGCGACAAGCCGCGCTGGCTTACTCCCTGTCCTGGATGATCTCGACCCGGCAACCCCCTATTAAAATCGAAATCTATTTTATTCTATTCTCGATCCAGATTCCAGACCAGAGCAGGGCGCGCGCGCGATCGCTGCTGCGAGATCTATCTTCGACCAATCCGCGCCGCGCCGATCGACCGCAAGAGGGCAAATCGCTGCCGCTCCAGACAAAACGAAATAGGGCTCTTAACACAAAAAGGGGTTAAAAGGCGCGGGCCCTGAGAATCGAACCCAGAATCTATCGATATTTGCAAGGGGCTGGAATCGACCCTGTGACCTCAGAGATTTTAGGGCGTGTGGGATCGAGGTCAGTAGCTAGGGCTCATGCGGCTTCTTCCTCTAGCTTGGATCCTCACTGCGCTGTGTCGCCTCGTTTGCAGATAGATTTCTAGCTGCGCGCTAGTCTCTGCGCTGCGAAATTCTTTCTTGTTTCTTCTTCTTGCCGGGGATCATTTGGCCAATGCAGCAGCTCAAGTGAGAATGGACACTGGGCGTTACTCTAGCAGCGTATGACACCGTTAAATTCTTCTTCTCTCAGTGATAGCCCGGCAGCCGCCGCCTCGCGACATTAAAAATCATGACTTTATGCTCTAGTTCCATAACGAATGCGATCCTGACTCAATCTTCTTCGTTATACAGGCTGTGGAGGGCTATGGGCTTCGCTACGAGCAAAGTGACCGGTAAGTCGATCGAGAGCTCTCTACCTCTTTTTTCTTCCAGTTTCTTAAGTGTTTCTCTTTGTTTTGTTCGTAGATTGAGTTATACTCCGGATGATGATGTCGGCTATGAAGGAGCGGCATTCTACCACCAAAACGAGAATGGGGGCTCTTGGGCCTCTGCCCAAGACTATGGAAGACGAGGCTCTTCGAAGTGGTCGTCTTACGAGGACAAGTACTCGACGCATGGAACTGAAGAGCATCCAAGGGGTGGCGGTCAGTTTGAGCGCGAGAGGTATCGTCGAGGTAGAGACTGGCATCGAGACCGAGAGAGAAGTAGAAGCAGGAGTAGGAGTAGGAGCCGAAGCAGGAACAGGGACCGAAGCCCAGCTCGTGGTCGAGGACGTGATCGCGTGGTTTTTTCTGGCTATGACGACAAGAGCAACTCAAATTCTTCCTGGAACGGCTACGGACGAGATACAGCGTACGAGGAACACGGGAACTTGCAGTACGATTCAAAGAAACAGCTCAACGACAGAGGCCGATACGATTTTCCTGCAGTGGTGAGTGAACTCGACACGATTTCCTGTTTTTAACTTGTTTGTAAATGTTGCCAGGCTCCTTCAGCTACGATTGTTGTCAAGGGACTTTCACAAAAAACCGGGGAGCACGATCTTTACGAGGCCTTCGTAAGAATGACGACTTTTACGTTTCTTAATTTCTTTGTATGCTTACCCTGTTGAATGTAGGCCATCTGGGGCCCCTTGAAGCACGTTCGAGTGATCAAAGAGCGAATTTCTGGCGTTTCTCGCGGATTTGCCTTCGTAGATTTTCCGTCCGTGGTAAGAACTTTGTCTGGAACTATTAGAAATGTTCATCTCCGATGCTGAGAGCGCGTAAGTTTATTACAGGAAGCTGCACAGACGATGATGGCTGAGGCTTGGGATGAAGGCATGGTTTTGGATGGCCGCAAGCTCTGCTTTGAATACAGGTATGACTTTGCACATGAATGTTTATGGCAGCTTTTTCACCGCAAATCGTGACAGTAGCAAGCCAACAGCTGGACCTGGGGGACTTCCTGGCGCAAGACAACCGGGCCGAGAAGTTAATGACTGGATATGTACTTTATGTGGATGTGCCAATTTTGCACGCCGTGTATTATGCTTTCAGGTGAGATGATACGTTTCTGATTCTTTACCCCGTTGTTTTCGGATGTGTTAACAGTGCAACGAAAAGCGTGCGGAGGATGCACCACTAGCGGAGGTTCCGATCAGTGCCGGAAGGAAGTTTTCAGATCCTGGTTAGTTTCTGGGTTTCTCTCTGTAGCATAAACTAACGTGGAGTTTTCCAGGTCCGAGCCAAGTCTTGCTTGTCCGGGGCTTAGACAATAGCATCGACGAGGAAATACTCAGCAACGAGTTTTCCAAGCACGCGTCACTGAAAGTATGATCGAATTTACATTTTTGTTAGTGCAGAAATTTACTTGTTATTTCAAGCAGGAAGTTCGGATAGTCAGGGATAGGCATACTCAGCTCTCTCGGGGATACGCTTTTGTTTCATTTCACTCGGTGAGTATTTCTTTCATGTTGAAGTTTATGTGTTGTTTATAAGCTGGATGCTGTGTTCAGATTGATGATTCTACAAGGGCCATGAACGCTACAAACGGATGTGTTTTGGAGAGAAACAGCCAGATTCTAAGAGTATCATATGCCAAAAGCTTAAATGGATACTCTGCTCTGGCAAGTGGCATAGCTGCCTCTGCAATTGAGGCCGCAGCATTCCCTCAACAAGTAAGCAATTGTTATGTTTTATGTGTTCTCACGCGGATGTAAATGACAGTACGCTTGGGCTCCGAAAGAGTATAACCCGCAACAGCAAGATGATCAAATTGGCGATAGTGCTGCAGCACCAGAGACCGGTTTCGTTTGGGACGAGGCGTCAGGTTACTATCACGATGCAGCATCAGGGATGTACTACGATGCAACTCGAGGTTCGTGATTGCCTTCACGTGTTTTGAATTTTCTTAGAACTTACAAAATGAATAAACACAGGGCTCTACTACAGTGGAAAGGATGGTGCGTGGTACAGTTACGACCAAGAAACCCAGGAGTACCAGCCGTATGTCGACGAAGACGCCAACGAAAGCACTCAAGCTACTGCTGCTGGTGCTGATACTGCTACTGCTCCAGAAAACGCTAGTACTTTGAAAGACGAGGACAAAGAAGACGCTGGTGACGAAAAGAAGCAGCCGAGTCTAGCGGAGTCCGTGGCTGCTGCTGCTCTTGCAGCACAGGCTGCCATGAAGAAGGCAAAAGAACGAGAGAAAGACATGCGTCTGGCTGCTGGGAAAAACCTGGGAAAGAAGAAGATCAACGACGCAGTGAACGTGTGGAAGCAGCGGCAAAACGAGGCCCGAGCTCCTGTCACCACCACCACCAAGGCAAGCACAGCAGCGAAAGCGTCGGGAAGATCTAGCGGTGAAAGCCATGGAACAATGAGCAACTTGGGACGTGGTGGAACTAATCCATTTGGTGGAGACTATCAGCCAGTGCTATCTACACCTGTTCTAGCAGCTGTGGAGCAAAGTTCCGTGATCTCGGGCAGCACTACCGTCAGCAATAGAGTAGAGCCCGTGAAGATGACTCCGGCACAGCAGCGAAACAGTGTTTGTTCGTCCCAGCCATTGTCGTCGAGATCAGCAGCTCCAGCAAGAAGCCGCAGGAGATTTATGGAAGCTCCAGTATCAAGAAGCTAAGTTACAAACTATGTTAAAATTATGATAAATTTAAGTGTTTTTTTTCCTTAACGATTGCCCCGAGCAGCTTGATGATTGTAGCGTACTCTCTTCTGTTCCCGACTTTGCTGTTTGCTTATGTGTGCCTCCTCTCAATCAGGCTTTTCATCCAAAAGCGCTGAAATTTAAATGAATTGCCATGCAAAAGGACTGAACCCTTTGATACATTATTTTACAATAATGTATAATCCAGAGCAGTTCATTTAAGCTTTAATCATGAAGATTTCAGGATGCCATTCTTTAAGCACTTGGTATTTCATCCCACCAAGTCATCAAACTTGAGCTTGCCAGTCCAATTGCGTAGGCTCAGAACAGCTGCCTCCCGTGCACCAGTCGCATCCAAACTAGTCACGGTTGCAGTCTGGTCCTCGGGATCAAACCGCACCCCCCAGAAGTATATCGACTCGTCATCTGGTTTAATCTCCAAAGGATCCTTGCGCAGAGTAAAGTTGATCAAGTAGACCTGTGCAGAGTGCTGCTTACTGTAGTCTACGGACTTCTGGTAGTGAGCTCTCAAGCTCTTCACGTCTGCATCGACAACATATTCAAACCCGAACCTTGGAAAGTGCTGATGGTCGCGGACTAAGGTATGGAGGCGCAACTGGCTGCGTCGGACACCTTCGACCGGAACCTCCTTCACCTCAGGGAGGACAACCGCACCAACAAAGGGGTAGGCCGATTGCAGCACTGCCTTAACCCTGCACATGAAAATGAACTGATGGGAGTACTCGGAGCACTCGGGCCTGCATGGAAACATCAAAAGATGAACGAGCACACATGAAAGCCGCAAAGCTCACCTGCAAATGCAGTCGTAGTCGAGCGTCCTGATTGCCTGCTGGACGAGCCAAGTTCGGTTCACAAGATGGCGGGGTGCTGGAGGATCGTCGGCCTGCTGGCCGCAGATAGAACACCGTCGAAGTATGGCCGTACGAAGCAGCGGAGACGATATGCTAACTTGGTACTTATCGTCTTCGGATGATACGGCAGTCAATACGCCTTCAGCCAGCAAATCACGGAGGTGCACCACGCTCTGTAGCTCGCGCTTCTCCTGTTCGAGGAAGCCGACCAGAAGATCGTACAGCGCTTGAGAAATGGTGGACGTCTTCCTGAAGAAGGACATGATTCGGGCATACGTTGCCTGTCCGAAGAGGTGGCGGCCGAGCTTGAATGAATCCGACAGTTCCAGCCAAGACTTGAACGTAAAAGCTTCCTCTTGGATCATATAAGCCAGGCAAGTCCCGACCAATCCTTTGTGCCCCGAAGTCTGTTGCCAGATGTGTGTTGCCACCTCCACCACCTGCAGAATCTTCCCTCCGTGCTCCTCGTTGGCCTGCTCCATGAGACTGATCACTTCTTCCACGGTGAACGGACGCAAAGCTTGTGACAAGTCATGCGGAAAAGGAGACAATCTGCTCGGCGCAGCGCTTTCAAGGTACCCTTCGTTTGCTGCATGCCTTCCTCTGTCATACCGTGCCTCGAGCAGGTCTTTGATCGTCTCGACACCAGCCAGAGCAAATGCCCACAGGTTGTAGGAGGCCCTCTGTGACTTCATGTCTTTGATTGTATGGAAGAAGACGTCTAGGCAGCCCGGGTCGAGCTTGAGCAGGGTATCTGCTTCATCTAGAATGACCACCACCTTGCAACTGACTCGCACTGTTTTGCGGAACATGCTCATGAAGACGATATCGTCACACATCCCTTCGTGCTTCTGTTCCGCAAACAAAGCCGGGCACGCAAGGTGTAACCTCCTGCACAAGTCTCTCCACATATCTGAAGAAGTCCAGCCCTTGGCCGCGCTGCTCAAGCCCCCGATGTAAACCGGAACCAAGCCCGACTGTTCCAATCTCTTCGCAACCGCGTAGAGCAGGGTGGTCTTCCCGCTCTGCCTTCGGTCACACACAACACAGTAGCGGCCAGCGACGAGGTCCTCGGCCAGAGCTTGAGCGCCTTCGGGCTCGACAAAGAAGCATTCAGTGGGGTCTTGTATCGCGACGCCAGTTGCAAACCGACGAGGTTTGAGCACCACCTCCGCTCTGGCTTTGTATCTCCAGCCCTCGATCTCCGTTAGCTTCAAAGTGTCGGGGAGAGGGATGACGCTCCCATCCTGATCGACATGCGCCTCGAGGACTATTTTGGAGCTGCTACAACCCCGTGACGAGAGAATCATCTGGATCACCTCTTTCACTGTCGTGCCGCTTGGCACGCTCCATTCTTCGGAGCCCAAACCCACAAGAACTTCGCTTACCTTGACCCGTTTCCCCTCCGCCATGAAGCTTCAGTTCGAACATAATTCGTTTAAAACCCTCGTTTGGAGAACAAAAAGTGTTTTTGAAAAATTTGCTAACCTTTAATAGAATTCTTATGCAGATTACATTTTTAAGAAACAATTTTATTATTTAAAGGCTACGCATTTTTAAAATGAATGCTATAATATTGATGCCCAATCATATGGCATAATTGCACATGAGTGCATTTTTTATTTACACATGTGTATTTTTTTTGTTTTCAATTGCACACAGTATTATAATGCATAATAATTGAAACGTGATTGTGTGTAATATAATTTGGCAAAATGCCAGATATGAATCCAACCCATGTCAACTAAAATTGCCCATAACAAATACATGTCTAAGATTGCCAGATACAATTGGGTGGAAATGCTTAGAACGTGTTGCCCAACAGCAGAATCACACAATCTAGCTCATCCAAGTTGCCAGCCACAATCTCTACCAATCGCTTATGAATGCTATGAGATTCTAGTCCCTTGGATCAAAACTTTTGGTGAGGAGTTTGAGTGCTATATTGCAATGCATATGGCACGATTCTTGCTTATTCTGAGGTAAAGATTGGCTAGACTCTAGATTAGACCCCATTGCATGTAGCCATTGAACATCAAGCTCCATCTAGGATGCCTGGTTTAAATCATCTCACCACTCATTCTTGCCATTCTTGCCAAAAAAAGAAGATAGTGATGTGGCAAATAAATTGACATAGATTAAAAATTTATATATGAAAGATGAGGTTTAAACAATTCAAACAATGATATATATATTGCAATATAACGCAATTTTTACTAGGCCACCCACCCCAGGTACAGAGGTATACCTCCCCCAAAATCTACAAGTTGCCAAAATGACTAAGGGATTTGTTTTTGTGCTGGTCAATTTATCTTGTCCCCAGGAGGGATAGACTGATAAGTAACTCTCTTTTTTCTATGAGCACAGGCTTTGTTTGATGTTTAGCTAGTTGGTAAGAAGCAAGGACAAACACTGATTACAAAAGAATTAGAGAAAGTTTAACTGCGGAAATCGCAACCGTTAGAGTAAAGAGGAGATATTTTTAGAATATCCGGTATACCAAGAATATCCTGGTATCATAGAATACTCCTTAATCTGGTTTTTTAAAGAAAAATTGTGGTTATAGATTTAGAGGAAATCCAACTCTAAATCTAATCCAGCTCTAGATTTCTTATGACCGATCCAATTTACATGCATGTAGTTATTTACCTCTTTGCAACAACCTGGCGATGGTGGTGTCAAACGCATCCCGGTACTTGAGCAGCCTCGTCCCCGGCTGCGCGTAGAGCAACCCAGGAACAATCTCCTCGATAATCTTCCTCCTCATGAGCAGCCTCTGCCTGGGAGAGATGTGCTCCACCACGTCCACCACGTCCACTCTCCGCCTCTTGACATCGCTGGCCGACACGAACACCGAGTACGAGGACGAGTCCTCGGGAAGGTGCCACGCATACTGGAAGTAAGCGGTGTCGGCGTCGAACAACACTGGGATACACCCGGCGATGAGAGAATCGAAGACCGAGCGTCGGGTGGCACTGTCCCCCGGCGGCTGCATGCAAAACTGGGAGCTCAAGAACAGCTCCATGGTCGGTTCCGGACTGTCGCACAGATTCCCCGAGCAGGCCAGCAGCTTGCAGCGATCTGGGCGATCCTTGCACTGGTTGATGAGGTGAGTCCGGAGGTGCTCGGGGTCCCTCGGCATCCCGGCGAAGCTGACGAGATTGTCCCTGCTGGAGGAAGCGATGCGTGAGATCCAGGTGCTTATGTCGGAGTCGGAGCTCGGGTGGAAGTAAGTCGGGTGTGGCACTGCGATCTCGTTTGGCTCGAAGGGATCTCGCTCCAGGAGAAGCTTGGTCATGTTCTCGAACTCGGCCATCTTGAGCAGCGTGTTCCCCCACATTGTCTCGTTGTTCCTGCGAAAGTCCCAGGTGATCTTTCCCATCACCAAGAGATGGTCCCTGCCATTCCTCCGCCACCACCACTGCTGCCGCTTGAGGAGATCCATCACTTCCAGCCCGAGCTCGTTCTTCTGCTCCAGCGTCTCGTTGGTGTAGTGGTACCTGAGAACGTCGAGGCCGGCGTAGTATGGAACGTAGAAGAGCGACGCTTCCTCTGGAGAGTCCGTGAGGCATGGATAGTGGAGTAGCCTCTGGTGGAAGAGAACGTCGAGAGCGTACTGGTTGGTCTGGAACCACTTCCCTGCTGGTGCTAGAACCGAAGAACTGGAGCTCTGCACTGGGACTCCCATACCCGAGTTTGTGAAGTAGTCACACATGCTGAACCACGGGAGAAATGTCCCGCATTGCTCGAGTATAGCCCGATTGAATCTCTCCGGGAGCTTGTAAATGTAGATAGCTCGGCCGGAACAGGGGGAACCCGATGAAACCACCCGTGACGATGTATCACTTCCACTCCTCAAGCTGTCGATGATCTCCTTCTTCTTCCAGCCCAGTTCCATCTCCTCGGACAAAGAACCACCATCGTTGTGGCCCGAGAACTTGTAGTGCTGCTCTACGCTGTGGCTAAATCTGATCTCTGCCGCTGGTGGAGCAGTGAAGGATTGGAGCTGCTCCAGAGGTACGAAGTTCCATACCACCCAAACGGCGAACAAAGTGGCGAGAACGAGTCGAGTTAACAGCATTGCCATCGTCCTGCGCTGTACTACCATAGCCTGATCCCTGGCGACGACCATCGCTCATCTTCTTCGTCGATGATAGATCCTCGCCTTCCTTTTCATCAAACGCCCACCAAGAGTGACTGGAGCATTCAAGTTCCAGCTCAACCAACTTTGATCCACCCCCCCGTTACTTCAGTGCATGCACTGCGCGGACAAAGCTTGCGTAACGCTTTCTGTTTCTCGTCGCTGACCCGGATCTTTCCAGATACGAATGCTGGTAATTACCAGCAAACGGGAGATTTCCTCGCGATTAAAGCCCCCCAAGTTTCCATCTCTTGCCTTTCACAATCCGTCGCTCGTTCTTGACGAAGACTTGTTTATATTGCTTCCCGTGACGCTGCTTGCTTGTACGTGATAGCCTGCGAGCAAGCCATGTTACCAACGTTGAAAACACATTTTAATCAGACAGCTGGAAAGCTCAATAACCCACCGAAGCCGATTCTTCTCGTGCTGCCGCCCATAGCGCGTCACATTTTTCTATTCGCCTCCAAAAGCAGCAAACGATTCCTGACGACTTTTAGCGTACAAGCTTTTCAGAATAGACCTTCGCCAGTAAAGAAGTAATGCTTCGTACTCCCTGTAAGCTCGAAGTTTCTTAGTTCTCGTTTCTCGCCATCACTGTCGAGCAAGTTGGCTTCGGGCTTGCTTTCGAGCCTCTCAACGCGCTCGAGCTAGTCTTCCAATGAAATTGCGATTAGAAAAGTAAACCGGATCTAAACAGCACATACTTGCCTTTTCCTTGATCTCTCGCAATGAATGAGCACAGTCCTAATGTTGGACTGCACTGGCATGTCAACCACGGTTGACTGCTGCCTCGAAATGAACCTTTCCTGTCAAATAATGACAGAACGTGAACAAAATCACCTTTGTGCTTTTTCCACAGCTATTCTGCAGCGTTTACAGTAAACATCTCGTCAGACATTCGTGTAAGTAGAAGAACGTCTGGTGTACCGTCAGCCTTGAAGACTTGTTCCGTCAACAACCAGCTTCTGTTTGCCTGTTTAGCACCCGGCTCGTAAAGAGGTATCCAAAGTATGTCGTACCTTCCCAACTAAACATTGAATCGGACTTTAGGTTCGCATTCCTCTAAAACGCTGCGGATTCCTATTTGGTGGTGAAGTCCCGTTCTCTGAAACCTTCACAAGGGCATCAGCGAGAAAAATATAAAGCTAAAAAGACCTTTCTCATCTCCCAGACATCGTGACGCTGCGTGTTTGCAGACTCTGCTTAGTAACCGCAACAGTCACGTCTGTACCTTTACTTTGCGAGACGTGGTAAACCCGATCGACATGGGCGTGCGTTCTTCGCTTCGCTGGAAACAGCAAACAAAACTATAAGATCTAGCAGGGGACTAATCTATTAGAAAATTTTGACCACTATGAGCTTACTGAAATCGCGTGTACAATAATAGAGCGTCAATAAATCATTTAGCTTCCGTTTAACTTGAGCCGCGTAGAGTACATTAGTTTCAGCTGCAGTATCATAGGAAATGAAGCAAGTTTTCATTGAATCTGCTGCTGATCTCTCGGAAAAACAAAAAGAAACATTAATCGTGGAAAAAGTAGGCAGCATACCTGTATGACTCGATGTTCGCCTCACAATAATTCGCGCCACAATTTAAAAATTCGAATTCAAACAAGGAAACGTGGGAGTCGCACGCCATCCACGATCGAACTCTTGTTAAAGGCTCAAATTTCGTGTCCACTTCCATATGAATATGATTGTGCGAACGTTAGCCGAGGAAACTTGCAGCTATAAAAGGCTCACACTGCAAGAGAAGAAAACATCTGCAAATGAATCAAGCTGATTGATCCTTACCTCCTCGTTTCCTGTTTCTGCTTCTCGTGAGACAGGAGGTAATGGCTGCAGCGAAGTCCGTCGTTCTGGTCGTAATATCATGCTGCCTGATTGCTGCGAGCAATGGTATGAATTTTCCTTCGTTCTTCCCAAGAGATAAATTTGGTGGCTTTCCGTCGTTCCCAGCGCAAAACATATTTTCTCCGTTGATGTTGGGTTACTACAATCGTCCCGGAATCTGCAAACAAAATCCAGAAGTTATTATCCAACAAATTGTAAATGGTTCTGTTGCTGCCGACCGTACTTTAGCAGCGGGCCTCCTCCGGATGCATTTTCATGATGCTTTCGTCAGGGTGTGTAGTCATCTTTCCAAGTAGTTTTGTATGGATAGCTGAAAAATGTTGTCCTGTTGCCAGGGTACTGAAGCTTCGGTGCTGCTCAAGTCTCCAAACAATGACGCCGAGAGAAATGCCATTCCAAATCTCAGCTTGAGAGGTTTCGAGGTGATCGACGCAGCAAAAGCCGCGGTGGAGAAAGTTTGTCCCAATGTAGTCTCTTGTGCTGATATTCTTGCTCTGGCGGCACGCGACAGTGTTGTAGCTGTAAGCAAAATGACCAGGATCAGTCGCTCAAAGTTCTAACGGTTTCGATTCAGATTGGTGGACCTTGGTGGCCAGTTCCAACTGGTCGCCGCGACGGAGTCCAAAGTCATGCCAGCGAGACGACGGATTTGCCACCACCTTCTGCAAACTTCACTCAGCTTCTCAGCATGTTCCAGAAAAAGAACCTCGACAAGGTTGATCTTGTTGCCCTGTCAGGTACGTATCACATAACTCAGTAGCAGTCTTCGCTGATAATATTGCCACAGCTGCACATACCATTGGAAGAGGTCACTGTGGTGCTTTCTCCAGCCGCATTTACGATGCCGCTGGTAACAATGCTATCGATCCCACACTGGACGCAGCTTATGCCAACAAGCTGAGAGGCTTCTGCCCGCCAAGAGATACAGTAACCACCGTAGAAATGGATCCCAATAGCAGCCTCAACTTCGACAGTCACTACTTCCAGGCGGTACTCGCAAAACAGGGCCTCTTCAAATCGGACGCGGCGTTGCTTACTGACGCTGGTGCTCGAAGCCTTGTTCAAACGGGTGCTAGCGCTCCTATCATTTTCAAGTCCCAGTTTGGATTCTCTATGACCAAGATGGGCAAGATTGGCGTACTCACGGGACGTCCAGGAGAACCTCCGAGCCAAATTAGAAAACAGTGCGCTTTTGTGAACCCGTAAAACGCCTCGTTCTAATAATTTTGTACTTCCGGTGCTGGCAACTATTTAATTAGATGCCTGACCACCAGAACAAGAAGTTGTTAAAAGGAAAAAAAGGAAAAAAAGGAAAAACAGAAACAAAGAAGACGTAGAAAACGACGTTCACATACCCGATCTCATCAAAATAGCCGCCTCTTGACAGATACCCGAACATCATCTTCATCCGACGAGTCCAGGTCTATAATTTGCTTGCTTGACAAGGAGTTAGATTCCTTACGAAAAGCCGTGGGTGCCAACAGCTCTACGCCACTTCCTTCGCAAGAAACTTGTTTGGACTTTACTTTGAAGAAGGACATGATATTCCTTTGATCTGGATCGGGTTCTTTCTTTTCCCGTCTAGTCGGTCTCTTGAACTTCTAAAACAACATAAGAAAACAAAAAAGAAAGAACGAAAGAAAGAAAAGATTGTATAACTGAGTAAGAAACAGTTTACCTGCTGATCTTCAAACTTCGAAACAAGAGCCGGACAAGCTCTTTTGATTAACGAAATCTGTTCGTCAGTTGTAATGGAATCCTCATTCGTTTCTCCCCCGGGCCCGCCAAAGCTGTCCACCGCATTCCACTTCACTACGTACAGTGGCTTTCCCACGTTCGTTTTGAGTTTCAGTATAGAGGTAGGAATATATCGACCGTTGAGAAGGGCCATGGAAGAACCTTCCGCGATGGCCTTTAGAGAATAGTGTGACAGTAGTGGAAGTGTCTTCTTACGAATATAACTTACATCCCAATGCAAATGCGAACCGAGAAATAGTTCTAGAGGTTCCATTTTAGGAGCTTCCCACCGAAGATCCAAGGACTGCCCTTCTGAAACATAAAAGTTGACGCTCACAGGTATGTATTTGAAGCGTTTATACGAACCTCTGAGATAACTAGTGGCCCCAGTATTCAGAAAAATCTCAATAATTTCTTCGTTTGGGAAGTCTTCAATCGCAGAAATTTTTGCACGGAGATTTGACCACCATGTCACATCTTTCTCATGCTTCTTTCTTCTTCGATCCTGCAAACAACAGTGTTAGAAACCTGGCGCAAAAAGTATCTTACATATAATACCTGTGCGCAACTCCCGCAGCCACACTTGAAGTTCTTCGTTTTTTGAGAGCATCCGGCAGTGTTCAATGACCCGCAATCTTCACAGCCTAGCTTGGTATGAAGTTTCTTGTTCCCGGGATGCCCACACATAGAACAATGAGAATCTTTTCTTCGTCCAAGCTGCAATGCAGCATCATCTCCTTCTTTGCTGTCGAATCCATTTGCCGAATCACTTAATTTTCCTATAACTTCTGGTGATGGATACTCACGCCTTCCCCATTTTCGAAGACTGATCCATTAGCAAGGAAATTAAGATCGATAGCAATAAGACAACAAAAATAAAAGATAAAAACCGGCTTACTTGTCAAGGATCTCGTCTTTAGAAAAATGCTGAACTAGGCGCATTGCATTGCTGTAGCCAACACCAGGTATTCCACGCAAATTGTAGTCGCAACCTACGAGGAGAGCTAACGCAATAAGATGTTCTCGTTCGAGTTGCAACGCAAGTCTGATGTCTGAAGCAAGATACGACTCCACAAGAGGTTTCTGTCAGACTTCCCACAATTACAGCAGCTTTAGAGAAGAATCCCCACCTTACTTTGATGTCCGCTTGCAAGGTTTGAATCACACAGCTCGCACCGTGAAGAAATGCATCACTGTCGGGTGTCACACAAGCGTCTACAACGCCATTTCGCTCCAGCTCCGCACACAAGGCTTCCGCCTCGCTCGTTGCACGTAACACCGGTACGTTGAGCAAGCCCAGAAGTTCCTATAGAGAGAAACTTTCGTGAAGGAAATCTTCATGGACGTAAGAAAACTTACCACACACTCTTCTACATTCTCGAGGAAAGCCCGATTCCGATGATTATCACCTCCATTCAGCTGAGCGGCAGGAATTCCGGACAAGCGACTGAAGCGCTCGATCCTCGCAGGCAGCTTCAGCAATGGCGCGTCTCCATCCACCACGAAAACAGGCAATGCACCGACCTGGAGTGAAAATTTCTTGAGAAATCGAGCAGAAAAACCGGCAATCTTGCCTTGGCAACAAGCGTGACGACGCGGAAGAACAAAAGACGCAAGTGAGGCTTGCGCGCCCTGTCTTTGAGCACGGCCTCCTGCTGGACGATCCAATGCGACAGATCGATCGCGAGGCGCTTATCCTGAAGCGTTGACAGATCGTCGGAGCTATGGCGCAGCGGCTTGACGAGCTCCCAAAATCCTCCCCCAACGCCCATGGATTCCTTTCTAGCTGCCCTAAACTTTCCCCCTTCTCTATACCAAGTGTTGTGACGTGTCAGTCGACGTGGCAACAGAGGTGGACAGATTCCCCTGCCACGTAGCTAAGAGCATTTTCATTTTTAGGGTTCTTGGGTTTACGATGGACGCGGCAATGCAGATTCTCCGTTGCCGGCTCTACGATCCGCGAGCGTCTCCGGTGTTCGCAAGCGCCGAGGAGAATCGAAGGTGGGGCGAATTTTCGAGTTTTGGTCGCTCGGCGCAACTTTTTTCCTCTCCAGGAAACTGTATGATCTTTTCAGGCACACGATTTGTCAAGCGTGCAACAATTCAGCGTTGCTTCTTGGGCCCCGAGGCTGTGGTAAATCCATGGTACCCGTTCTAGCTACATTGGTTTCTTTCTGGTTTTAACATTAGCACCCAATGTAGGTGCTCGAGCACGTTTTGAGAGAAATCCAGGAGACTTTTCCGGATCGAATTTCGATCGTAGGGAAGATCTTTTGTTTGTTATCTCACCTCTAAAACTTTTGTTCTGTTGTTTTCGTTCTCAGGTTAGGCTGAATGGTCTTTTACATGCCGATGATCGAAGTGCCTTAAAGGTGTGTATGAAGTCGCTCGCTTTTCACGAATAACGTTTTGAGTGATGTTGATGCCAGGAGATTGCAAAGCAACTATGCGTGGAACACGAGCTCGAGTTTTCCAAAGCTGTGAGTTCTTTGGAATTATTTTCCTTTATTCACGCTCTTTCTCCCCGCAGGCATCCTTTGAGGAGAACTTGCGCTTCCTGACTGTCATTCTGGAGTACGTGCCTCTTTTACGTGACCAAGGTTCCATTTTTATGTGCTTAAGTGTCCTCCCAGGCAGTTTTCTCTCTCACACAAGGCCCTTGTTCTTGTTCTGGACGAATTCGATCTTTTTGCGCAGGTTTTTTGTGCTGAAACTGGTTCTTGCATCTACCTTGTCTCTTGTTTGCAGAAACCAAAGCAGTCCCTTCTGTACAACTTGTTGGATCTGTTGCAATCGCCCTCTTCCCAAGCAGCTGTAATTGGTATCAGCTGCAGACTGGTATATATATATCTTAGAAACTCTTTTTCTCTTATTGTTCCTCTCTAGGATGCCGACCAACTCTTAGAAAAACGAGTAAGATCTCGTTTTTCACAACGCAAGATCCTTTTTCTTCCTCCTCCTAGTGAAGAGATCACCAGGTAAGCTTTCATTTTCATCAAATTTTAGTGCATATTTCCGCTCTGTCGTCAGGTTTCTGGAAGCGGTACTAGTTATTCCAGTCGATTCATCTGCAAACCTGGCTCAGCATGCCAACGCTTTCAACGCAAAAATCTCGGTAGTAGCCTCTCTTTCTTGTGAAAATTAGAAGTCCTCATTGTTTCTTAGGCCTGGCTACAAATGGAGACCACGAAAGAGCTCGTGAATAAGCTGGCAGCACTTGATTCTAGTCCAAGAAATATTATTGACTCAGTGTGAGTAAGCTATTCATTACAGTTCATTGATCTTCAACTTCTATGTAGCTTTCGGAACCTGTTGGACTACTTAAAAAACACCAAGTCTACAACACCAAAACATCCACCGACAATTTGCGCACTTGCTGGTAGCTGCTGAAATGGCTCTCGTTTATTTCATCTAATGGTTTACTCATATAGATTTGTCTGTGCTCGAGCTTTTTCTGCTTACATCAATGAAGCGTCTGGAGAACAAAGAGCGTGACACCTATACCTTCAACTCTGTTTTCAAAGGTAAAAGCCACTGACTTAAACCATATTCTCGCTCAAATTGTTCTTGCAGAGTATCAAGATGGTTATAAGAGTTCCGATTCCTATTCGAAAAAGGCTGCTTACAAGGTTTTCAATTTCCTGAAAACTTTCAGTCGCTCCTAACCAAATGTTTTACATGGAGTAGGCCTTTGAGCACTTGTTGGAGCGCGAGCTTATTGGATACTCGGATGGAAGAGCTGTGAGCACCTTGTCACATTTAAGACCTGTGAAAATGCTCATCTCTTTTGAGGAGCTTGAGCAAGGCCTCGAGGCCAGTCCAATTTGTCCGGTACGTTTGCTAACACGCTGCAATGAAAGACTAACTTAGAATGTTTGGTGTGCAGGCTACATTGCGTCAGTGGTACTCACAACCAGGTGACTTGTCAATGTTCTCCCTTATAACTTTCTCCTGGAACGTTTCTGCAGAAGCTTAGAGACTGGAAAAACCTGCAAGTCATTCACGCGCTAGCTCTCGCCTGATACGCTTCTGGTTCCTTTTGCGAACCTTGGGCAAGGAAAGCATCCATCACAGCCAGAAGCTTTCATGACGTTGGCGATAGACCGCAGTCTTCCTCGGCCGGCATACAGTGTCAGAGTTGCTGGCCGACCAGCTCGACTACTGCGTCCTGCAAATACGAAAGCTGGTTTTATGAAGAGAACTTGAAAGGTGAAACTTGGTACCTTCAGCTTCATTAAGATCGGCAGGCTGAATGTCGTTTGCTTCACAGTCGTACCTATGATTCATAAGTTCTAACACTCTGGATTGAAGGATACTTCGAGCTAAGCTATTGGAAACTCCTGAGAGACTGAGAAAGATTATCATCGGCAGCACGTATCTAAAGCTTTTTCTTCAGCGACAGGATGTCCTGTAGCAATTCACTATGAGTGAGTGTTAGAGAAATGGATTAATCACTAGAGAGCTCTAGATCCTCTCCATCATTGTCCAAAGAAAAAATACTTTCATGTCAAATGTAGAGATACCAACCTCCATTTGGATTTTCTCTCTTCCTCTGTGAGAAGTTTTGATTTACAGAAGGATTGCGATGTCGGCGACGCTCCAGCGCGATGCTCTTATTCTGAGCTTGAGCATTCTAGCTGCCCTAATTTCACTTCTCTAACGTCTCCAAGTGTAGTGACGTGTTAGTCGACGTGGCAACCGAGGTGGACAGATAATTTTAAGTGGGCGTACGGATTGACCGGTAAGTGCTTTGACAGGCTAACCGGCCACGAGCCCTATTTCGTACGAAATGAAGCAAACTGACAACCGGCTGAATGGCGGCAGTGACCGGTCATAAAACCAGAATAGGTACGGCGGCGAGGAAGGTTGAGCTCTTTTTCCTGTGAAGGATGAACTCTGCTGGCAACGCACACACACAGTCTTACTCAAGGTTTGTTCTTCCGCTACGATGCGCTAGGGATTGAAGCGCGGCGGCATAGGATCCGCGATGCGGCTGGGATGGAGCACAGATTCCCGCTGTCGGATCTGGATTTCCTGGATATTTTCGTCGCCGGATGACTAGGTAAGCTCGATTCTCCCGTTGTAGCTCGAAATATCGCTGCGGTCGATGGCCTGGACGCTCGCTGGATGCGCGCGCCGCGCTATCGAGCCGGCGGAGGCTCCAATCTACATTTGGAGATTGGCAGCGCCGAATTGCGGCTGGGAATGGATGCGGTGTGAGGTCTAATGGGGTTTTGGATGTCAAGTCTAGGCCATCTCTTCTGTGCGTCTAGTCTAGCTTTGTGACCACTGATTGATTCGTGCTCTCTTCCGTGAAATGCCAGTTCGTGCGAGACGGGGAGTAGCGCCTTCTCATGGCCGTGAAACTGTCCAAAGCGTTCGCCGTGTTTGACAACGATGAGTACTTACCTCTAGACGATTTGCAAGTGACTCTAACTCGAGAGAACACCAGCGAGGATGGCACTTACACGCTATGTTTGTGGATGTATCTCTTGAAGAACAACAGACACCCCGGGGTTATCATCCGACAGGTAAGCCTCTTGTTTTCCTCTCATGAGCTAAAGCGTGTCTGTGCTATGTTTCTATGCATGCAGTCTACTTCGAGTATCCAATCGCTTCCATTTCTATCACTCGACAACGATTTACGGCTGGTTCTTCATCCCTTGGTCCAAACCGAATCAAGCGAGCTCGATGTACTTGCTGATCAAAGTTGTCCAGTTGAGAAATGGGTGCACGTTGGGTGTGAGGTAGCTGCTGATGAAGTTTTTATGAGATGGGAGGATTTCTAAAAGTCATGTTTTGATTGTAGATTGGACACAACATTGCACGTCTACACATTGATGGCGTCGTAACTGGAGAGAAGGCAATAAGCTTTCCATCATGTGACGAGACCGTAGAACCTGTTAAACTTAGTGGTGGAGACGGACAAAATCGTGGCGGTTTTGTGCAAGCATATGCACATCATGTTTGTGTCCTTCCGCAACCATCCGTGACCAATCACTACGTAAAGGTACTGCCTTTGATTTTGCTTTAGTTTTTCCTTTACGACGACTTTTGTCACAGAATCCACCTCTGGAGCTGTCACTTGATGGCTCGACTGGAGGATCCGAGGACCATGAACTTGAAGAAGGAGGAGATGGCGTATGGAGCGTCGTTGGAGGCAAGGCATCATGTCGCAGAAACTTTGCTCTTGATGTGGTTTTGTTGGATGCCTTGGGACGAGCTATTCACAAAGATATAGAGGTGACTTTGCTCTTCTAGTATCAGATTGGCACGTACTTCTTTCACTTTCTGCAGCTTGTCGCGTCCCTTGTCTATGCGGACACGGGCTATCTGGTTGAAAAGCCAAAAGATGACGCAGAAGCGCCGCTTTTAACTACATTCGATGGAGTAGAATTCCCATCTACTGAGAGGCCTATCAAACTAGTCCACGGCAGAGCTTCTTTTAAGCTAAAGATTTCGCAGGTATGCTGCAAAGGTTGGATATTTTTGAAAGTTTTCAGCTTGTGTCTTTTGCATGCAGCTCTCCTCGAAATGTGACAACCGACTGTTTCGTGTATGCTTCGAGTCGCCAAACATTCCAAAGTTTCCATTTCTCAGAGTTTTCTCGCGGCCGATCCGCTGCGTTTCGCGAAACAGAAATAGTCGAACACCTTCAGCACCCTGGAAGCGTTCCTTCGCAGCCGTTTACCCGGTCGATGGCACCACCTTACCTTCAGCGGCAGAGGATCGACCTGAAACATTACGAGCGAATGAATCCAACGGCATGGCCGCTCCGAAGTTCCAACCAAGCAAGGCGCCACGCATTGGAGATGATAAGTTACCTTCACGGTTTCCGATGCCGGCAGACAAAACGCCAGAAGGCTCAGTGATATCCAAAGGTGCCGACGGTCTTGTTGGATCCCAAAGAATGGCTCCTCCGCCAGCTCCTGCAACGTGCTCGCGGCCTGCTCCGGCTAGTGTATACAAGGCAATGGACAAGAAGCAACGTCCAGAAAACCGCAAGAGCTTTCCGGCTTTCATGAACAGCAGCTGTGGGGAGAAGGCATTCTCGGACTACGTGGTATTCAAGTACTGCTTAGAAACAATTCACAGCCGAGCAGCATTTCTGAGAGCACTCGTTGTGAGCAAAACCGAAGAAGAGCTTCATGAATTCGCCGGCCGAGTCTCTCAATATACCGGGTGCCAACATAACGGGTATGATGGCGATTCGTTTTCTATTCTCGTTGATCTCCTTCCTGGTTGCTAATGTTTCATTAACTTCTCAGGTATCAAGTTTTGATCGCAAAGAAGCTGCTACGAGAAGGAGAAGACATTTGGAGGCAGGTTTCTCACGATGGCTACTCAGCTCCATGGCCAAGTTTGATGAGCAAGGTGGAAGAGAGCTTCTACAACATCTCTGGCCAGAGTAAAAGACGTTTCACCTCTAAGGTAACGATTGTATCCAAGAGATTATATCACAAACAAGGCCTTTTTTTCAGGACATCGAATTCATCCAGCAGAACTGCGGGACTGGAAGCGCGACGACAACGCGTGAGCAGTTCGACAGGTTGTGGCAATGGCTTTATCCCGTGGCGATGACGGTGGCGACTCCACAGGTCCGCAAGACGTGGGAGAGCGTCACTCCCAAGTGGATAGAAGGAATGGTGTCTCGCAAGGAGGCCGAGGAGCTCTTGCGCGGCGTGGACGGAATCCCAAAGACGGGCAACTTTATACTCCGTTTCGCGAGCTCTCGCAGCTGGCCTCACCCCGACGCTGGAGCTCTCGTTGCCAGCTACGTTACGGACGACTTGAGGATCAATCACAGGCTCCTCAACCTCGACACTAGAACCTGGTAAGTTATCGAGCTCTTTGATCTTCGAGCGTAGTCACTCACTGAGCGAGCACCATGTTTGTTTTGCAGTGGCGATGACACGGATGGAAAGCAACAGCACCACTCTTTGTCCGAGCTGCTGGTGTTACAACCCGAGCTGGTTCGACCATTGAGGTGAAATTCACTCACACACTCTCGAATGCGCTAGAGCAAGAAACTAAAGGTGGCGGCGCAAACTTATTGCTCTATAGCATCGGAAGGGAGAAGTAAACAATGCCAAATCTACAGCAGGTACACAAATTTGTGCCAAAGATCTTGTGTTTTTTTTCCTTGAAAGAACTACACACATCTGTTTTGTAAAAGATCCATGGAGAAGTAAAAACGTTGTACGCACAGTACAACTTTGGAGCTGTGTTTTTATTTTTTACAGGAATCATAAGAATCCTTCCCCAAAAAAATTGTGCCACAATTATTCCTGAACAATAATAAGCCGCCGCGTAATAACAAACAACTCTCGTCAAGGAAGAAAAAGAGAGAGAGAGAGAGGAAAAAAAAAAGGAATGGGAGAGGAGCACAGACAATCTTGTACAAGAAAAGAAAAGAGGAATGAGGAAGAAATGGCCGGAGTGATGAACACCGGGATAAATGGCGATGGCGAGGAGGAGCCACGAATCTAATCATCGACTGGAGCTTTGGTTTTGATGGGCTTGAGCTTGAGGCCAAGACTCTCGGGAGAAAGCAGCTCCGGGGAAATGCAAGGCAGCAAGCTGAGCGGGCTCGTCGGCGGGGACGAGTTCTGGCTCGTCGACGGCGGCTTGCCAAACCCAAAGCTCTTCAAAAAGTACTCCATGGGGACTAGCATCGACAGTGGCTGTTCTTCCGTCACTAGCGTGCCAGCCTCTTGGACCTGCGGGTGGTGGAATCACGTTTAGACCTTTGGAACTTTGAATGCTTACCGCCACTAGCGCCGTGGACGTCGATGGCATTTGAGAGTTCACGTAGACCGCCTCGTTGTAAAACGGTGAGTGCTCCCCCACAAACACGAGCGTCCGGCACTTGAGATTCATCAGCCCCGCCGTCAGGTCCTTTCTCCTGTCCGAGTGAAACACAGCTTTGAGCGCGCTGTAAATAAAAGCTTGCGCTGAACAGTTTTACCTGTGGAGCGATTGCCAGAAATGCATGACGTTCCTGCTTTGTCTGTCATCTAAAACCTGCGCGAGCAAGACAAGCTTTGTCTAGAGCACAGGGAGAATTTGCACTGTACCTTCTGATATCTTGCAAGGGCTCCCGACTCTCCGGACGCTAAAGTATCCTACGCAAGATCATGACGTGATGAGCCAACCAATCGGAACTAGGAAAGCTAGCAATCTCCTTACTGGACTAAGATATCTTTCTAAAAGACTGTCCCGAACGAATGAACACATTCCCATGAAATAGAGCAAATTGATGACCGCCTGGTACAAGGAATCTTTCAGTATACTGATATGACATTTCAAATCCAACCAACCTTGTCGTATAGCCACTCTGACCAGCTTGGAGCTCGGCAGATTGGTGAGACCAGAACAAGGCCAAGCACACGCTCCCGGTACTTCATCTGCGTGCACGAAAACTAGATTAATCAAAGTCCAGATGACAAGGAAAAGCTGCTCACCGCAAACAACGAGAGGATATACGCACCAGCCGCTACGCCCAAGCATATCACCTCTTGCAACCTGAAATAAACAACACGAACAGCTGAATAAGATAAAAGTCCACAAGGAAGAACTGTACATACGCAAAATAGTCGCAGACTTCGGCAACTTGATCTGCCAAGTCATCCACCGAAAGAAGGCGTGCGTTGGATGGCACCGCAGGAGCACCGACCTGCAACCGAAAGAAGAAGAATTAAAAGAAATTTCTAACTTCTCTCACACCTTCTCTCACGAAAGTACGAACCTCGTGACCCGGAGCCTCAATATGATAAATGCAAAAGTTGTGAAACACCAGAGACGACGTTTCCGGGCATGAGAAAAATCCATCGAAACAAGAAGCAGCTGCTCAAAAGAAAGGAAAAAAAAAAGAATGGATATAGCTGCTTTAGTGAAAGAGGAACAAAGAAAGAAACACTTACTATCGAGAGCCAAGTCTGGGTACGTAAGAAGCCCAGGTTTGTCCTGGTCGCCACAAACAATCACAGAAATTGGGCCGTAAGAAGTTGATACTAGATGACTCTGCCCAAAGAAAAACAAAGAGAAGAAAATTTGTAAGGATCATCCAAAAAGACACACAAGGGGAAAAACAAGGAGCTAGCTCCCACCTCAAATTCTAGCAATTCGTGAAAGCCATAGCCTACATTCTACGAAGAAACCGTTATATTACCTGTCCTCCCCATGGAACCATGCCCAAGTCGAGGCAGATGGAATCCGTGCTGCCGCCGGAGATAGAATCACTGCTACATGACGCCGAGCCGCTGCTACTGTCCGACATTGCCGCTAATCCACGCGCAATCCTGAAATTTCGCTCCCCCTTCTTGACGCGATGAGGAGAATCTATCTAGCACCTGGCGGCACGCATCAGATCGGAATGCCCGGCGCGCCCCAGCCGGATCGGATGGATTCCCGGCTCCACGAGATCAGGAGCGCGTTGCGCAGCGGCGCCGAAGCCCCAGATTTCGGGAGGTGGAGATGGCGCGGGAGCAATCCACAGCAGATCCCGGCGGCGGCAGCATCGTCTTGCTAGAATCACACTCCTCCAAAGCGCTAGACCTAGCGCCTGGAAGAAAGAACAGAGCCACCACACACACAAGAACAGTAGTTACCGCGAGATTAAAATAATATATCCCGTGTAAAGGGCTATCTTCCTTTCTTATTTGCTTTGACCCATGGTAAAGCCCGCGTGATAGCGTAAATTACATTTACAACGCTAGCCTCGCCACATAGGTGAAAATTTCTTAATGTTCCTCGTGTGCTTTGGACAGAGACGCTGGATCCTCGGCCTTCCGTACTCACTCTGGCAGAAAATTTCGTACAAGGAAAAAGATGCCACGCGAATATGCCACGCCACCGACACCGTTGGTTTTGTGGCATGTGTCGCGTTTATGGCCATGGTCATTATCATGCGGGCATGGGACCCATGACCATGCGCTGGCTCCAGCATTATATACCTTGAACGTATGGCGCATATGCCATGGCTATGACACATGCATGGATGGGGATGGATGGCCCCATTCATGAATGCTGTCATGGTTGGCGCATCGCTTACTTGAGTCCCAAGAGAGTATAGATTCCAAGCAACTGATAAAGCCTGGAGTGACAGTAGCTAGATCGTGAGAGTTTGCTGCTGCCACTGCCACTGGAACAAACTTAGCTCAAAGCAAAAAAAATACCAGGAGTAGTATATAAATATTGCGCAGAGAACCACCTATGGAGAGCTTGGACGCAAAGAAAAGAATGGTTTTTTACCAAGCGCGACGAGACGTTATTTACGGGTGGAGAAAACCAGTTCTATCTTATGCCGCGCGGTACTCGTCTTCCAAGTTGTGGAACGCGGTTGTCAAATCGTCGTAGAGTTTCTGGTACGTGGAGCACAGCGCAGACTCGCCCTCGGCCGGATCTTCGAATTTTTGGGAGCTGGAAAAGGAAGTGCAATGGTGGCTTCAAGAAAAAATCGAGAGTCCTTACACTAAACGGTATATGATGTCTCCGAGGCGCTGCCTGATGATGTTGAAAGTTATTTTCTGACCCTTGGATCCGGCAGCTTTCTCAACAGCCTGCAAGAGAAAGTAAAATTTCAAGGACGTGAAAGAGGTATGGCAGTGCATACCTGAGTGGACAGGTCGCAGAAATGGACGATGTTTCGCATCATCCAAACGGACTTGTAGAACGGACAAAACTTATCGTATCTGGAGCAGATTGTTAGCGATAAACAAGAGCAAGCCCGGAACACGTACACACTGAAAGCGTTTTGCGCCAAATAATCCTCTCTCAAGAGCTTGGCCGTCTCAAGAATAATCTTATCTCCCTCGGCCAGCGCATCTTTGCCGACAAGCTGTGAAAAGAAAATACTGACTTTGAATCTCTCACCAGTTCACGTACCTGAACAATCTCGTTTAGATCGTCTTCTCTTTGTAGCACTTCACGTGCTTTTGTTCGGATTGAAATAAAGTTCGGATCATAATGTTCATAGAATCCCTCCAATGCCTGCATCAAAAGAAACAATCAATGGTTTTCCACGAGACAAGATATAAATGTCTCTCACCTGGGTATACTTCGAATAAGATATCAGCCAGTTGACAGCAGGGAAATGCTTTCTTTGCGCAAGCTTCTTGTCAAGTCCCCAAAACACCTGCAACAAACAACAGTGTCCCAGTCAACACTGAAAAAAAACTGGCACAAAGACGCTTGCCTGGACAATACCAAGAGTCGCTGTCGTAACAGGGTCTGAGAAATCGCCACCAGGAGGAGACACGGCACCGACAATAGAAACACTTCCAGTTCTATCGGGACTACCAAGGCATTTAACCTTTCCAGCCCGCTCGTAAAACGTAGCCAAACGTGCACCCAGATACGCTGGATAACCACTGTCGGCAGGCATTTCGGCCTGCGCGGCGTTTGTAAATTAGGAATAGAAAGAAAATCAGAGACTTACGAGTCGACCGGATATTTCACGCAAGGCTTCGGCCCATCTCGACGTCGAGTCAGCCATCATACTGACATTATAGCCCATGTCACGGAAATACTCAGCCAGAGTAATGCCTGAAACCATCGATAAAATCAGCGTTGAGCCTGAATTGGAAGGACATACCCGTGTAAATTGAAGCTTCTCGTGCCGCCACAGGCATATTTGAAGTATTAGCGACGAGAGTTGTACGCTTCATGACAGACTCTTCGCGTCCATCAGGGAGTGTTATAGTAAGCTGTGGAAAGTCTTTCAACACCTGCAAGAGGTGATTTGTAGAAACAAGATAAGAAAAATGGGAAATTCTAGAACCGACCTCAGCCATTTCGTTTCCTCGCTCGCCACATCCCACGTAAATGACAGCGTCAGAGTTCGAAAACTGTTTCATGACAAAGTTAGTCACGCATTACAAAAGAACTCCAAATACCTTCGAAAGCGCCTGACTAATAACGGTCTTTCCACAGCCAAATGCTCCCGGAATAGCACACGTTCCCCCCAGCACGGAAGGAAACAGCGCATCCAAAATGCGCTGAAGGAAAGGGCCAGTTCAGCTCTAGCTCGACAATAAAATTTCACATACCTGTCCAGTAAGCAAAGGAGTGTCTGCAGGAAGCTTAGATGCTACAGGTCGTGGCGTTCGGACAGGCCACATCTGATAAAGAAAACATCATAACTTCAGAACTGTTAACATACAGCTGATTGATTACCTGAAGCATAGTGAACTGCTTCTTTGTACCTTGAAATTCAAGCTCCAGAACCTTGTCCTACAGCAAAACGTGAGTCCAAACGATACCACAGGGACCACTTACCACTAACCTGGAGACTATACTGACCATGCGGTGCAATATAAGTTACTTTCCCCATAGCACCCGCAGGGAGAGCAATATGATGTTCCATAAGCGAGTTCTCATGGACAATCTGCAAAAGAAAAATAGGTGAAACCTGTTGTGTTGTTCATCCTTATCACATACTTACTGCATACAAGTCTCCACCAGTGATGGCGGATCCAACACCTGCAAATACAAAAAACAAAAAGAAAACAAAAAAAAAAGGCTCGTTAGCAACTACGAGTGAACAAATTAGCGTACCAATCTTTTTTGGAGAGAATTCCCACAGCTTATCCTTGTCAAGTGCTGGCACAGCAACTCCTCGCGGGATGTAGACATCGCCCGACTTAATGGCAATGGATTTAAGAGGACGCTGCAAATCAAACAAAATAGACCTCAAAACCAAAGTTTTCATGCATAGCCGTGATACCTGAATACCATCGAAGATGTTGCTCAAAATTCCAGGTCCAAGCTCTACTGACAGTGGCTGTATCAATGCTTAAGTAAAAAAAAACTCACAAACAATCAAAAGGAAGAAAGGAAAACAAACGTTGTGTGTTCGAAGAACTGGATCATTCACGGTCAAGCCAGCGGTTTCCTCGTACACTACAAGAAAATCGCGAGAATTGCAGCTAAGGAAAAGCTTCCAATCACAAAAAAGAAACGAGAAAGCAATACCCTGAATCGTTGCCGAGTCCCCTTCTAATCGAATAATCTCACCCATGAGCTTGTCATTCCCGACGCGAACCAGCTCATACATCGCCGCGCCTGCCATATTCTCTGCAATGACCACAGGCCCGGAGACCTGGAACAAAATCGCATTGCGATCAAATCAATCCATCCAATCCTCCAATCACTCAATCCAAATGCAGCTGGAAATCCAAAGAAAAGCCATGGAGCGATCGCGCTTACCTTGCGGATGTATCCATACTCGCTCTCGCGCTCCTGATCCTCGAACGTGGCGAGAATGGGCATAGCTCTCCCAGCACCGCAGATTGATGAACCCTAGATCTACACAAAGACACACAAAAAATAAAAGAATATTCCAGTCATACTTCGAATATTCTATATCACTCACAAGCTATTTCATCGTTCTAGTTTGTTTGGTCTTTCTCTTCCCCATTCCTTTCGACTTCTACATTTACAGTCTTTGCAAATGTAAACACTGGAGCTCGCGTTTGGCCTTCGCGCACTGGGAATTCCAACTCGTTTGGTCTTCTCCACAGCGAGTGCGCTGCTTCCACCCACGCCGGATGGACCAAAAACTTTCGGTGCTCTTTCGCCCACTTGGCCTTGTCCGTGAATCGATCCAGCGCTACTACGTGAGTGACCGAGTCGTCGTGCGCTAGAACACACTCGGCCCCCAGATCCACGCACAGTCTCCACAGTGGAGTGAGCTCGGGTTCCAGGCAGTCGGTCGGGAAGATCCGGCTAAACACGAGCTTGCAGCCCGAGAGTATCTCCGACCGGACGACGCTGGTAATCTGGATAGCGTTGGAATCAGCGAAGAGAACGAAGAGATAATGACTTACATCCCGGACGTCGCAAGTGTAACGAGAATCATCGCTTTCCTGCGACAGTAGAGAAAGGAAAGTGATGCAAGTGGCAGCTTTCCAGAAAAAAAAAATTTCTTTCGAAAAAGCTAAAACAAACCATGAAAAAGTCGCTGTGGATCCTTTGCAAGACTTTGAGCACGTTTGCTAGCGCGCCTTCGTCTTTGCTTTCGTCCCTCTCGGCCTTCGTGAGAGACGGGTTTTCCAAACCAAATTGCCGGCAGCTTGACTGGAAGAAATGGTATCGTTCCATGACAATGAGATTGGCTCGATGTTTCGGCCAGACCTGGAAGCAGACATTCCCAATAAAACGAAAGACAGAAACTTAAGAAATAAGTACCGCTTCTGTATCGTCAAGGATGAGCACTGCCGAGTCGGCTCCAAGAACGATGTCCAGGTCCTTCGTCTGTCTACAGGTGCTGTCACGTTGCGAGATGACTCTACCTTTGAAAAACTTTCCGGTGGGATCAAGGAGATGAGCCATTGTCACAGCGTACATCCTCTCGCCCATTGTGTACACATACATCTCAAACAGTTTGCTTGCTTCTTCTAGAAACTTATGAGCGAAAGGCCGCAGCTTTGTCCACAATTGCATGCCGTGAATCCGGTGCAGTCCTCCCCCTCCAGGTTGAATCACACCGGCAACAGCTGAAATACAAAGAACAAAAGCTGGAAACAAGCAAAAAAAAGAATGATGGAGCAAGATACCTGGAGCACCATTGGGTAATGCTGGTATTTTGTCTTCCGGAACATTCATGTAGGTGTGCTCAAGGTAAGCCGTCTCATCTGGAAAAACTTCCATCCAGCGCGCAGAGTTCAGTAGAGTATGATCCAAATCCAAAACCAGGAAGAGCTTCCGTTTGCCCAACACTTGCCGAAGCTCGTCTTCACGAACACGAGCTAGAACATCTCCAGCAAGCTCAAACTCCTAAAACCAGAAGGATGAACCAAAAAACGATCTGGCAACGAAATCTCTTACCTCATGGATGTATTTCAAGGCAACGTTGTTGGCGCTTCCGCCAGGCTCTGAATTTGGCTTGAGCACACCGCAACGTATACAAACGCCCCACATAAATCCGGGATGTGGAGGACAGCTCGCTGAAACACACAGCACACGCAGAAATTTTGCTAAGCGCCCGCAT